AGGTTCGGGGTGAAAGGTCATCGTTGGATAATATTCCTGCGAGGAGATGCGCTACGGAGCCTCGAACGCGGCTCCACGCGACGTCCGGCGTCCGAAATAAGCAGTGGGGACGACTGTCCGGGGCAGCGCATGCGCGGGTCGCACCGTGGCTCCAAATACATGGACACACACACACACACCTGCAGTTTGACGCCTGCTTTTTGGTCCATATACACAGTGATGCTGTAAGGCGAAGAACAGGGCAGCAGAAAAACAAAGAAAAGACACAAACAAACACCCGCACGCGGGCGGGCGCGCTTACACTATCCCCCCCGAACCGACGGGAGAAGAATGAACTCTCTCTCCTGGGGGATAATAGCTCTCTCTTTATACACACACACACACACACACACACACACACACACACACACACGCACCCACACACGCACCCTGTCATAAACACTGGGCCCTGTGGGAGGAAGTGTGAAGGAGGGAAAGTACCTCATCAAGACAACAACAACAGCAGAGGTGCAGGGACTGACAGCTGCTCGCTGACAGAGACATGAGGGATCACCTCCGTGCCGCGACGACAAACACGAGGGCGGCTGGACACAGATAACGCCGACCAACGGACAGGCGTGAAAGTGGGGCGGACAAAGTGCTCCTTTGTTGTCATTGGCTGGTGACAAGATGACCTTTTCACCTTAGAAAGTAGCCGCCTCGACACAAATGACCCTTGTATTGAACATTGCTGTTGGAAGGTCAATGAAGGGCGGAGCCAGAGAGGATCATTGTTTATTTTTTTCAGCGGCAAAAGGTGAATAATCAGTCTGCCTAACATCTACTTTCAAGTACATATTTCCTGTATTGGTGGACTCTCCAGCAGGCTCCACAGTTCTTTCTTGAGTTTGCCTTAAAAAGCCTTTAGCCATTGTGCCAAAAGCACGCCGGGCAGCGGGAAGGTGCAGCCTGCCACAGTGATTACATTTTTAAAAATGTCTCATACTTTTTGGGGTTTTGTCAGATTGAAGAGGGCCGTCGCGCATCGGCCTGAGGTTTGTTTGTGGCTAAACGTGCCTCTTCTCTACGTAACCTAACATCAATCAGAATTGCTTGTGTGTTTAACAGTCGTGCAGGGAATACCTTCTGTCAACTTTTTTGTGCGTGTATGTATGTTTAAAGAGAGTCGGTATCAAATGAGTGAAGGGTGTGTTTGCTCTCTATTGACGGAGGCTTAGCGGCTGAAACATTGTATTGTGCGACGTGCATTTGTCAGCTCTTTTTGTATTTTTCTCGTCGGCTTCGAGGACACAAACACATGAATGTCCCCGCACACACAAAACACAAGTACACACAAACATGCCTCCAACACACAATAGCCTCCGATCATCTTCTGAGCAGCAACGGCCAACAACTAAAGGCCCCCTTGGGTCCTGCTATTGTGTCACCGTTGCGTCACCATTGGTGTGTGGATTCTGGTTTTGGAGGCCTAGAGTTTGGCCTTTTGACTCTCGCCAGGTTGATTTCTCTCTTGTGACAGGAGAGGGCGGAGCTCGGTCCAACCCAACACTGAATGACGCCAACCCCTCAATGACGACGTAGCCACGCCCAATTCCATGGCCCGCTCTACTGTCTGCACAATCGACTAAATATACACATGTGTCATTTAGCAAATTACCATCAAACTAGCACGAAGAGGACTTAAAACTAGCGGCTGAGACCACACAGCCATGTTTAAAACGTTTGCCGAGGTGATGCATCAGGTGGAAGGGGATCTCAAAGACTCACTCGGTTACTGCCTGACACACTTACGGGGTACGATGCTTGCTGCTATACTGACAATCCAGTACACAGTCTGGCTGCATGGGGAATGTGAGTCTCACATGGTCATGCAGCCATCCATCGATGTGCGATTCCGATAAGAGCAAGTCGTAAATTACACGCCTTCGAGGGAAAAAAAAACCCCGGCAGCAGAGTCTCTCTCTCACACACTTATACACATATGCAAACATGCAAACACCTGCCTCAGGGGGAACCACCCCAATGGGCAGGGCCATAGATAAATAAACTATTTGTTATAATACACAACATGTTAGTGATAAATAGCTGTGGCAGCATGCAGAGGAATTTGGCCTGACTCCGTCTGCCCTAAGCGCTGTTGTTTGCACGACACTTCGTGGCGTGGGTCGTAAAGCGCAGGTGCAGAGCCCGCTGGACGGACCGTTGCCTGGCCAGGAGGAGCGTAGACACACACACACACACACACATGTGCACAGTGGATCCAGGTAGATAACCTGGTATGCGATTGTATCACCCAGGATGCAAATGGCTAAATATTAAAGGCAATCAGACCGTCCAATGGCATTGTTCTGCATGACGTTCAACCATGTTCTTTAGTTTGTTGTATTTTCAAAATGATGAGCATTTCGAACCCTGGGTGTTTATTTTCGGGGTCTCGATCCGATGGGACATTTTGGGATTGTTGGGGTTTTGTGATAATGGGCTGTCACAAGAATCTGGAAACGCTGTCTTGATCAAGATAGCGATTCGTTGGCACACATATTAGTCCACATCACATAACACTTTTCTCTTGTACGTGAACCTTAAAACATGGACCTATTAAAGAAAACACAAAATGAAATTTCCATACTTCATTGTGCTGTGCTGTAATCTGTTGTTTCGTTTATCAAAGTGGAAACATTTCACCTGCAACATGTAGCTTTGGCTTAAGTATTTTAACAAGAAGTCCTCGTTCCACCGGGTCAGCGGGAAACATTGGAGTTTGGAGCACCGACGGCGAGCTTCTCTTCGAGCTGAACATTTGTTCCAATGCCATCTCTGAGAGGGGCTGAGGAACCCGGCTGTTCCTGAATCCGCCTGTCAGGTGTTTGTTATGGGAGGACATGTGAGGATTGCAAAACAGGAAACACAGGGCCTCGATAACTCCCGCTCGCACACGCATAGGCGACTCGCACACACACAAAGTGCGCAGCCATGTTGCCTGGGGCGTTTGGAAATGGGTTAGGGCAACAACAACAAAAAAGAGCGTGTGCATGTTTCACAGCAAAAAGGCCACCTTCTGATGCTCTTCTCTACACCGCCCAGCAAGTACAGGATGTGTGTGTGTGTGTGTGTGAAAGCATGGCTTACGGTATGTGCTAAAATAGTGACAAAGTGTGATTGACGGGGCTGTTAACTGGTAAACCATCGGCCGTTCTGCAGGACTAACAGGTACCAAAGATGGGAGGCCTGGGGTGGAGTGAAGAGAAGAAGAAAGAAACAAAAAGGCAACACATGATGAATGATAAGAAAGGAGAGTTAACATGAATAAGCAGCGTCTTCACTTCGCTTCACCTCTCTCCGAATGTGTTCCTCTGCAGCGACACGCAGACACATTGAGCAGCGTGTTTTTCCGTGAGTCCTGGACACATTCAAACATGCACGCCGCCGGCGTGATGACTAAAACAGACACTATGCACACTTGTTGGACGAGCACTCGGGGCACTGTGACACCTCATCAGAGACATAAAAGGGGTTGAGTCCCGAGCGAGCTATTGTTGCAGATATAATTGTGACAAAAGAGCGTCCCTCCTCAAATGGCTTGGTCGTCATGCGGCTGTCACACCATTAGGATTCTTTCTTATACTTATAATACCCTGTGAAGTCGTGGTGGGGGGGTTGCATTCATTTGTCTGGGGAATTGCTCTTGTGCACAAATGAACTGTTGATCTGTCTGTTAAAGCATTTTGCCTTCTACAGTACAGACATGACTGTCACTGTCACTGACAGCCACAACATTTATAATTTGACACCTGCTACATGAGAGGGAATTCTGTCACAGCTGGACAACAGCGCTGAGCGATAGTATCAAACAGGACGAGTGTTTTGCGTCTCTCACAAGTGTACTTTCTGTCCAGATTTAGTCCAGGTTTCTATCAATGTACTACAATGCGTATTACCAACGAAGAAGAAGAGCTAAAAAAGCACCAGTCAGATCCTCAAAACAAATAAAAACAATGGGTGGGAGGATGTTTGGAAAGGATGCTTGCTTTTTGTTTGTTTTATGTAATATGACTCAGGGAATATCATCGTTCGCCTGTTAGTTGGATGTTTAAGTAAAATGCTTTACAGATATCTGCTGTTTTTTTCCACTCCATATGAAAATAAGGGTTACAGTTCTATAGAATGACACATAAAACACTTCAAAGAGTTGAAACTGTGGAATGAGACGAAAAGGCCTCTGGGAATATCAGGAAGACGCGTCGCGTTTATTTGCCGCTGCGCGTTAGAGGCAGTAGATCGGGAAAACATTCGAGGAGATATTTCAAAAACTGACATTGACCAATCCTCGTCCTCGTGATGTTTTCTGTTCCTCCTACAGTCACACCGAGCACATGCTGCTGCAAACCCCGATGAGGATTCATGGAAGGAAATTTGTTTATTTTACCACCGCAGCACAAATCCAAATACCAGTTTTTTGGTTTTGTCCTCACCATTATATGAGGGGTTTACTGTACATGCTGTGGTAAGGGTGGATGTGTGTGTGGGAGGGGGGTGATTCTCTGGAACAGGATGTAGCTGTGCAAACGCCTAAGAGCCTCTCTTGCTTGTGTTTGCACAAGAGATGAAAAAAAAGAGAGAACATTTTCTTCTTTTTCTTTTTTTTTTTTACCACCACCTGTCAGTCCGGGGAAGGAGAGCGTTCCACGACATGAAAAATCTCAGTATGAGATTTACTTCATATCACAACGTCGACCTTCTGACACGGGCAGACAAAGCAAGATGTTTCATGAATACACTGCTGAAGAAAATAACCTGGCAAGTAACACAGTGGAATGCAAAGCTATGCAAATCAGATGCAAAGATTGAGTAAGCGCAATGATGGAAAATTCCTGGTTGGCTCAGTGAGACATTTTCTTTGCAATGGGAAGGAACATCTCAAACATGATGGCTTAGCACATCTACATTAGTAGTGAACCTAGTTTAATGCAATGCTGTGGTACTTGTACATCATTTGAGTATCCAGTCTATGGTGCTTTATATTTCTATTCCACTACAATTCACACAAAATATATACATTTTTAATTCTACACTTATTTGACGGCTTTACTTGTGGTAGGAAGGATGCATTGTTACATATAAAAGTACTCAAAAGTAAATTAAGCTGTTAAAAACTGTGAACATGCAGTACTTAAGTACAGTAGTGTACTTTTACTTACACTTGATGTAAACTGTGCTCCTAATACTCCCACTTTAAAAACCTTGATTGAGAGACCTTTGCTTGTTATACAGTATTTTTTATTTTGTAGTATTAATATAGTTCATTAATAATATCAATACTCTTGCCATCACTTAACTTCAGTTCTTCAATTAGAATTTGCTCGTAATTAGTTTTTGAATGAAGAATTCTCACTTTCAGTGCAGTACTTTTAGTGATTATGGTATTTATGCTTTTACTTGTGAAAAGGGATCTGAATACTTTGTTCTACAATGTTACCTTTAATATTCTTTTATTAAATACGTTTATTAATGTAAAGTTGCAAGTTTTGGCACAAATTTCAGTAAAACGTCTTGCGGTTTCCTCATATGAACCGTTGTTGTCTCCGCTGCTCCCTTCACATGCAGGTCAAAGGTCAGGGTCGGGCCCCAGTTAGTAACCTGGTTTGAGGGCATATTGCCTGAAGAGGTGCTTCAACAACAGCTTGAACTCCCTCTTAACACGAGTAATAAAAATAACATCCACAGTAAACAGGGCTTTTTTTCTGTTGTTCTCCCTGATGATCACTTCCTTTGGTATTCCTTAAAAGAGCAGGAAGAGGCGTCGCAGCAAAGAGATCTCTCCACATCCAGCTGCTGAAAGGAAAGAAAGAACAAGTTCAGCGGCTATGACCTCATCCTCCCGACAAAGAGCGCAAAGGATGGTTGGAGGCGTCGGGAGGACGAAGGGAAGAAGTCGACAGGCATGAAAGTCACTTCACCGGCTGTCCAGGTCCTTTGATGGGTCACGTGCGATGCCAATGCCAGCTGAAGGAACCACACCCGGGCCACATTGTTCAAAATGTGTTTGCACTCATGGTAGACAGCTACAGGGGTGTATTCAACCACTCCGGGTTGACTCAGTGGATTCTGACACCCTGACACTTTGATCCAAACCGCTGTATATTATACGTATTGTACACTTAACACACACTAATGTGGACCAGAGACGGCCTGCTGATGCCTATCTACAGTATTTTCTCATGGAGCTCATCCTTAATCCCTGTGAGTGTCTGTGTGCTGTCAGAAGCCCCCCCCTATCGTAACACACGGAAACATGCCCCTAGTCCTCCCAGGTTTAGTATCTATGTATCCATCTCCCGGTATCTCCTGTCTGGTTTCTCCTGCGCCTACCTGGACGGAAAAAAAAAGCGCCGAAAGGTTTTTCTCGTGGGAAAGTATGTTGCCCCGTGAGCAGGGAGTGAGAGCGGAATCCCGTTTTTCTGGGTCTAGTCTCACTCCCTGTTCCGCGATCCCATCCCTGGTTCCGTGTCACGATCCGGCATCGTGTCAGGACTCGCACAGGTGTTAGGAAACTCGGCCTGTTCTCGCTCAGCCGGATTATGGGGTTTTGGTTGAACACGGCACCTGTGCTCTGCTTCAGGCTTTCGTTTCTGTCCTTTTCTTGCATCACTGTGTTTCTTATCATCTTTTTTATATTCACCAGTCGTTTTCCTTCAGTTCGATGTCATTCCCATTCTTTTTGATGTCATTTCCAACCAAGCGAGTTTAAATTTGAACAACCAGGTCTTCTAATGTAGTACTTTAATACTACCTTTACTGTAGCAGCTTACTCCATCAACACAGAGTCTTGCGTTTCTTTACATTAGAATTTAAGCAGCATGAACAATAAAAGAACGGTACATCTATTGTCAAACCCTGTTATCAAAGTCCCCAGTCAAGTTCTGCTCCTTGAGTCACGTGATTTTCAGTAAACAGCGTTTTTTTCATGGAGGGAAATGACAGTTTGAAGCAGACGATTTACTGTGCTGAGAAGCTTGGAGGGTTTTTTATTCAGTATATCAAATAAATGTCAATTTAATGTTTAAAAATGAAGCGGTTAAAACAAAAATAAACATGAAACACTATTTTTCAGGATCATTTTTTATTACTACTACCAGATCCAGAGCACATTTCCAAATAACCCCGACTCAGACTCCTAGGTCTCGATTTTGATGATAACGTGACGTGACCTGTCTTGCGTATCCATAAACACGCTTAGTGGGAATCAAAGCAAAAACTAGTGACTTTTGGAGCAACTAAATAATAATTAGCAACACTGCATTTGGCCACTCTTTCAGTCCTGTTACCAGTGGCGGTGGGTTTGGAGTCTCAGTTTTATTACGTGTAAGTAAACATCAAACTTGACTCAAACATCGCTTTCCAACAAATCCTAACAAAATATACATTGATTTACTGTAAATGTTTAAACCTAAAATGCACAAAATGTAAAAAGGAATTCAGATGTCAGGTAATGACGTGGGATTGTATCCTGTAGTCAGTATTACACCGTCAAAGTGAGGTCTAAGCATTGATAGTTATTCGGAAACCATTTGTCCCTTTTGCACAATCATCATTTACTTGAAATCATCAGTTAGAGTGAAAAAACTTGTGGCGTCAAAAAACCTGCTGTCAAGGAGGAGAGACGTGGTTGTCGTTCAAATACACACTTTATCTGTCGTCAGTTCTGATTCTGAAAAGATCTAAATACCTGATAAATGACATTCACGTCAAAAACAAAAAGCGGCAAATTCAAGAAAACTTCCTCGTTCCTCTTCTCCTCTCCCCGTTTCCAAGCAAGCGAAGGGGAAACAGGATTTGCTTGAAAACCAGGAAGTACAACATTGCAAAGCGGCAAAACTTGAAGCTAAATCCACAACAACAGAATTTAGCTGCCGACAGCTTGTTATTTAAAATACATTTTTCAATGTAGAAAAATCTCCCATCCCAAGATTAATGTCAAACAAAGACAAAAACTAAATGCATCAGCCATCATAAGAGGGACAAGAGGGACAAAACCGCAGAGAAGCAAGCGTGTCCTAAACCCCTGGACCCGAGGAGGGGAAGAACCGAGCGTACCTAGAAGATGACAAAACAGGGGTCGTCCTCGTGTCACGTGGAGATGAAAACCCCCCCGAGCGACCAAATCGTGCACCGTAGTCGACGCCGAGCGAGCGGTCATGGAGAAAGACAGCAGGAAGTTGAGTGATCATCAGCTGGGGGAAGAGTATGACGAGGCGAGGCGAGGCTTCCGGGGTCACTCGGACACAAACACGCGCACACGTGTGTTGATGCGCCGCGTGAAGGCCAACGCGCACAAGGATGCAGGCAACCAAACGGTGGTGATAAATACAAGCATACTTCTAAATCCCACTAAGCAAAGAGGCCTTTCCTCACCATTACACTACCGCTACTTTTGTTCTCATGGAAAAGGTCAGCGGAGGTCAAATTAAGAGTTTGGGAAGTAAGAAGTTTTATGGGGGAAGCAGTTTGTTTGAAAAAAAAAATGGGGAAACCATGTTTTCTTTTATTGAATAATCACCAACCTAATTAGAGGAAGTTTGATGTGCGAGGAACAAAAAATAGGATTCCCAATTATTTTATATTTGTATTAGCAGTAGTGGAGCATTGGGTGTAACCTTCGTTCTGCACACACACACACACACACACACACACACACACACAATGCATGCATAGAAGAGAAAAGAGGAAATTAAGTTTGAATGAGGTGAACAATACTTGACATATCCTGACATATTTTTTACTACACACTTCCCCTCTTTGTGACAACTTCCCCACATTTTTCACTACCAGGGCGAGATACTACCAGAGGCTGTATATGAATGAAGAAAGGTGCGCGCACACACGTGCACAGACACACACAAACTCAACCACAGATGCAGGAAAGGAGAGAGAAGGAGAAGAGAGTTGTTTTGCAACTAGAAAGAGGAAGGTGCCTGTGTCACTCATTGTTTTGTGACGCAACGCGGACGACTCAATGAACACAGAGACTCACACGCAGGCTCGCGTTATTCCCACCTCTTATCCGACCTCGTATGTAAAATACGACTTGTCGACGGGGTATGTTTCAAAGAAACTCCTGTTAGCCCCCTGGGATAAAGAGGGGCCGGAGGGGGCAAGATGGAGCACGCTGGAAGACGCAGCATCCAAGAAGATGGAGCCTGCGAGTGCAGTCTGCAACTCACCGGCGCAGCAGATTTGCATAGATATTTGCAAGTCAAATGAGATGCACGGGAAAGAAGGCGATTGACTTGGGAGAGCAAACTCGCTCGGAATTCCCCTCTGCTGGGAGACTCCCAAATTGCTTCCAAGAAAAAAAGGTCAGGGGAAGTCTACAGTTTGAAATCGTGGGACAATTGTTCAACGATTGTTCAATGATTCTCTGGCATTTGGTTGGATGGACGCTTTGCACCTGCGTGCATGCACACATGCACACACTACGGCTGCAAAGACACAAGAACGTCACAAGATTATTTCAGCTTATACACACACGCACACACCCAAATCCCCCACTGGGCCGATCTCTGAAAGAATAGTGGTGTCACCGTCATTTGTTTGGCTTTGCGAGAGACTTTGTTGACAGAGGCAGAAATGACCTTGAAATGAACGGTCGAGGGGGTCAAGACCTCGCTGCCCTTGATTTCACAAACAAGACCCCCGACCCTCGTCTTGAGGTCGGTGCTTAAAGTTCTCACACTCATTGTTTTCAGGTGGCATGTTGGTGTCGTTGGTGCAAGCGGACTAAGAGGCATAATAAACGCTTTCCCAGCATTGGCCTCAATCGCCAATCAGTACAGCTTCCAATGATTTTTGTTATGTAAAAGTGTTTTTTTGTCAGTGTAGTAATAGTAATACTGGTTACTTTTAGCTGAAAAAAGTGAACTTACAGACAGACATTTCTACCAATATAAGATCTGCAAGAGTTACAGGGAAACAGTCCATTTTAAAAACAGGTGGCATTTTTGGATATGCAAACGTCTGTGTTAAAGTTAGAATGCTAAAAAGCTCATTCGACTCTTTTTGGGGGGGGTAATCGTGGATTTTCCACATTCTCATGTTGAAGCCATCTAAATAGAAAAATCCAAAGGATAATCTAGAGTTCCTCTAGGAGGAAGGATTCTTGAATTACACGTGCATGAGTACCGACACAACCCTCCCCCTAAAATCTAACCGCGCAAACAACAAACATATCACATCCCCGAAATCTACAATAAATAAACACTGCCACGGACGGCATAATCTAACAATAAAGGCCTTGTTTACAGCAGCAACAATATTACTCAGCCCCTGTAATTGTGTCTGTGATAAATGTATGACTAATGATGCCGAGCCAAAGGAGCAGGCCAAACCGGTCGGCTTTACATGAAACAACAAGTGGAGACGTGACTTGGAGGAAGCTTCTCCGCGGGTCAGTGGAGATGTGTCTTCATGTATACAGTCATTATATATACCACAATAATAATACTAAGAGGCATTTTTTGGGCTTGAACGACAAAATAATACCCTCTAAAGTATTTTGTCCCTCTTCTTCAGGAGGACGTTTTAGTCCTTCAGCTAAACACGTAGTTTAGTGAATGTTTAACTAAACACTTAGTTTGCCAGTTTAAGTTTTAGTTTATGTTCTCAAGCCCACCGGTGGATATGTATGGTTATACTGTGAAGGTCAAAGGTCATTACCAGGGTATAGATTAAAAAAAAAACATAAATATGAGGAAAAGAGAAGAAACCAGGAACCACCCGCTCAAACATCTTGTACTTGTCCCTGTGAATGAAACTGAGCGTGTCAGTGCAGGCCGGCGCAGAGAGCCGCTTGGGTAATGATCTGTGGACGAGACTTGAGTCAAATGGTCAGAAAACAGCAAAAACATCCAGGAAGCATCATGTGCTTTTCAGGTGCTAAAAGCTCTCTCATCTTCCCACACGATCTAACACATAGCTGCAGTATGTAAATGACCACGAGCACGCAATAACACCTCCCCCCCCCCCCCCCCCCCCCCCGAAAAAACTCCCACTCAGCAAAAATGTGAACACTGATGACTGAAAAGTTATAGAGTATCAATCTGTCATTCTTTCACACACACACACACACGCACACAGGGAAACAGAATAGGTCAAATGTGGCAGGTGTGCTTATAAAGCATCCGAGGGTTGTGTGTCGCTCGTGGGATAGGGGTTGAGAGGGGAAGATGTGATCTTCACAAACACGCACGCGCAGGCCGAGGCGCAAACAGGTTCTGCTGCTGGATGTAGATCATGCACGTATTTGTTGGAGTCTTACGTACTGGAGTCTTTGTGAATATGTGTGCGTTGCATGTCACATATCGCAATGCTTCATGGCAAATCAACCTTTTATTTCCCCTTAAGTGTCCGCTTACAGTCATTCCACGACGCGAAGCCACCTGCTGCGCACAGACACTAAAATGTAGGGATGTAGCGGAGTGTAAACCCGCCGAAATCTAGTTTGCAATGAATTTTCGTGTACCATCGTCTGAGCTTTCATGTATTCAATTATTATATCTCATTGAGATTAGTGTCTTTTTTACAAGAGTAACCTGAAAACAGAAGAACAGAGAGAGAACAGATAAAATGAAGATTAAGGGAACCTGGAACTACTCCTCTGTGCATAGAGTGGATACTGTACATATGGAATAAAGTGTGTACTGTGACTTCAAGATAACACCGTGACATGAGTTGTTGCTTTGTCCCGGCAAGTGCAACTCTGTAATTCAGAAAGCAATTATGAGTACAAAACGTGTAGTCGTTGATAAAGGGCAATGAGGTGTGGGAGTCCAACCGTGTTATCGGTCCTTTTATTCAGGGATTGCTGGTACATTAAAACCTTGCACGTACAGAAAAACAGAAACACATGCTTCAGAAAAAAAGTGGCAATGACTGGCCAATGCAAAGACCGTGACACGGCACACATCCAGCAGGGATACTGACTGAAAGCAAGAGATTAACCCTTTCAGTGCAGAGCACAGTAGCCAGACAGACAGAGCACATGTACACCGCAGGTTTCATTTTTCACTTTCCGCGCACAGCCTTCACTCTCCATCTCACACCAGCAGACGTCTCAGAGCTCACTTGGCGTTTTCAGTAAAGATGTGATTCTATTTCCGTTATTTAAAAAAAAAAGGTGTGTTCCACATAATGCAGAAAAAAGGCCCCCAAAAAATAAAGTTTCCCAGTTTAGCATTTGTATGTAGATGGTTATCGGGAGTTGTTGGCTGACTGTCATTGAAGGGGCACAAGAGGGGGGCTCTGTTTGCAGTGTCAATATTTACAGTGACACATGACTCAATTAATCCAGACTGACTGAGGGGAATTGTGTGTGTGTGTGTGTGTGTGTGTGTTGTGTGTGTGCATGCAGACGAACAGACAGATCTATCAGCGTGAATGGATGTCAGATGTGATGCTCTGATGAGCAGATTTAAGTCTTCCTTGGCGGAACTTCTTTTCGGGGAGGGGGGGGGGGGGTACTCTTGTCGTCTGCCAGAAGCTGAGGTCACGGAGTCGCAGAGAGTTGAGTCGTGGCTTTCCTCACCTTCCAATAGGAAAGACATACAGTACAGTCCAATGTGATTTTAATGGGAGACCAATCACAAGAGGACTGTCACAAGCCTCTTTTGCATTGCAAATCCGAGATATGCAAATGAGAGGGGGGAGGCCGGTGGGGGGTGGCAGAGGCATTGCTCTGCTCACTACACTATCAGTATGTGTTGTTCTGTGGGCTTTCCCCTCTTTTTCAACCTCGTATTGACATTAGCTGCACATGTCTTTATTCTCTTTAGAACACTAAATCCCCATCAATCAGGTCAGCTCCATTTACACTCCTCTGTATTACCTCTTTTTTTGCCGCTTCATCCCGCTTTATAGTTCTTTATCAGACAGAGGGGGGAATTCTCACCAACGTCCCTGAAATGTCGCACTGTGCAGTTTCATAGTTCAACAGTGTGACTCACGGCAAACTCAACCAGCGCGCGGTTTTACATTATTTGTCTCCAGCTGTCCCCCTTTGGTAGTTTTCTGTGTACACATGTGCTCCCGGCCCCCAGCTAAGCTTCCATATCATCAATCATCACGTTGATTCATAGCTTGCCTGTTGTGTTTATAATGTCAACAAAGCAGCTTGCCCACTACCATAATGAGCTCTGCTCTCGTGCAAAGAGCAGCTGAAAGGATCTTACTGCCATCTAGTGGAAACCGAGCGGTTAATTGGTCAAAATTCAGGGAAATTAAGAACACACAGAGAGCGAAGAGAAAACATTTGTTTTATTGCTCGGAGGTTTGTCGTCAGAACAGAATTGTAATGTCAAAAAGTCAGCTGGCAAACATGTGATAATTATAAAATAGTTATAGGTCAACTTTGTGGCTAAGATTTACTGTGCCTATCTGTACACATCCAATGCAAAGGTAAATGGGGAGAACCCAAGAGTAAAAGTAGATGCACTCAAACCACAACGGCTGAAAAAGAAAAGGATTGTTGAGTATTTGGCACCGGGACGAAAAGTTTGAAATCATCAGGCAACTGACCCCACAATAAGTAAATAGGAAGATTATATTATAGGATAGAACTGCATGACAGGATTAGTTGACTGAACACTGGTTATTTTTGAATACTATTACTATCATATTACTACAAATAATATGAATACTTCGATGCACAGGTATAATTGAGCTTTATAGTTTACAAACATATTGGTATATTTCTCTTTGTGGCCAATCTTATCACACAAGCTGATGTACTGTAGTATTCTTTTTTTAAATCACAGTAGATTCCCTGATTTTGTGAGACAAAAATGTTATTACGTAATTAAATAAACACTCAAAAAGAATTCCTCTGCTTTAGTTCAGTTTCAACACTCAGGTAATATATTTTAGGATTCATTCTATAGTATGTACATCAAATGAATGTCAATTGACCCACTGAAGCGTATTTTGAATCAAATATTAAAGATATAACTACTAATTGACCTCGACATAAGGACACAGTGCACACAGTCCCCGTGGAAGATGTAAAAACAAAGAAATAAACATAATATAAAAGAAAGTCAATGAGAACAGGACCTGGACCTCTTGGAAACGCTCAACAGACAATCGGAGCCTGAAGGAACAGGAAGTAAGTGGCTACAGAGAGAGGATGTCAATATGCTGGTGGCTGAAGCAAGAGAAAGAAACAGCTGTAAGTGTAGGAAAGCGTGTCCAGAAAATCAGTAAATCACTGATACAAATGTGGTTTCACAGACAGACCAAGTTGCTGTTAAGGCTTGTATTGTGTAAAGTCAGGTTCACAGAGAAGAAAATGTGCTACAAAGGTCACAACGTCAATAACGGCACACGGACGCTTTGGAAAATGGCTCCGGTTCCCGTTTGGGTCCAAAAACCTTCAGCTGACAGTCGACAACGAGCCGCTCAGAGACTCGTATCGTCAGTCTCACAGTTTACACAGAAAGAAACACAATACTTTGTATGGTGTACAGTACCCTGACTTAGTTCAGTGAAAACAGGTGTCAGTGGCAGCTGTACAAAAAGAGAAAAGGTGAGCTTAATAAAGTACGTATTGTCTGAAGGATGGAACATCATGGTATAGTAGCTGTATTACCTTTTCTTTTAAGTGTTTTTAAATCATCTTTTCTAGCCCAGTTCAGCTGACTTGTAAATCATTGCGTCCTTATCACTCTTGCAACGCAGTGCAAAGGCCTTAATACGTCATCGATCTCCGTCTGTCATTAGACGTCAACATCGATTCCTGCATTTCTCGGGTAAAGCGCAACGACTTCACTGGGAAGTCTACCCACTGCCCAAACCTCAGGCTCTCGCCATCTCCTCCCCCCAGTGCAGGGCTGACGTCCACTCAAGCGGAGGGAGCGGTTTCCTCACCAATTGAAGCCGGACTCCCATCCGGACTTTCAGAGCCTGTGAACAACCAGCAGTGAGAGGAAAACACGCTGGAGGTGAAACTCCTCTCCTCCGTTTATCATTAGGGAAGATGAAAAAACGCCTCAGAAAACCAGAAGACGAAGATTAACGGATGTCTTCCCCCTCTCCTCCGGGCCGGGGCTCCGTGGCGCGTGGCTGCGTTTGCGTGTCTGCGCGCAGCAGGCGGCTCCAGCGGGCCTGGTTCCGGTGCAGGTGACCCATCATGGTGTGGCTGAGCGGGCTGGGCTCGGTGAAGCGGTGCCACTCCTCGAACAGAGGCGCCACGATGTAGGAGATGAACCCTGGGAGAGAGAGGGGGGGGAGGGTCCCAATAAGCTGAGGGACATCTTGATGGTGATGCAGTCTGCGTGCCGTCCAGTACTCACCTATCTGAATAGCTGGGACAGAGTCAGCCTGCTGGTTACACAGAGGACTGATCTCCATGTCGAACTTTCTCTCCAGGTCACCTGTCAGGTTAACAGGCAAAATCCAGACCGCACATTAAGAAGAAGGTGGGACCAAATAGGATGCTGACAATAGTAGAACTTTCCACTGTAGTTTTCCATGTGTATATTTGGTGCATTCAAGTCCTACGTAAGAAACTTTCTTGACCACACTACTCACCCTGCCTGTAGAATTCCTCACACACTCTCTCACTCCACTGTTTGCTCAGCTCCCAAAACCGACATGGATTACAAACGTCTGCACACTTCAGAGCAATCTGAAGCAAGACAGACACAAGATTCAGACAGCTACTCCCGCTGTACTCTTTTGTGAAACATCCATGGCTGCAGTGTCGGTGTAGGGAGTGGGAGGGGGAGGGAGGGGGGGGGGGCAGTTTACCTGCAGTATAAAGTGCCTGTGCGAGGCGAGCTGAAGGTCCAGGTCCCGGCTCTCCAGATGTTCCCTGAAGGTCGACAGGAACTCGTTCTGCCTGCTGATGTCTGTAGCCAGGATGAGAGAGCCCAGCTGCTGTTCTATGTTCTGCCTGCAGAGTAGAGGGGGCGCCACTGAGCCAAAACAACAAAACCGCTCATGCCTCGGCTGATTTTTACCTGCAGCAGCAGCGACCTCTTCTGGGTCATACTGTGACTGTATTAGTACCTCGCCGTGGTGGCCGGAGGACCAAAGGAGATTGCAACGCATCACGATTATTCAAGCACAGTCATCCCCGGTTGTGGGACGGTGGATTCCGCCATAGTACCGTCACCATGGGACAGTCGGTGGACGCTGCTCACTCAACTATAAGACGAGATGTTATCGCTACTGTCCAGTGACTCTTGTTGGACTTCCAGCACGCTTGTACTCATGTCTACGCTCTCTATCGTGAGGAATGCTGAAGGTGTGTGTGGGTTTCATGGAGGTTTGTCTAAGCGCGTACGGAGGCAACCACACTGAGGCGATCGTCTGTGTTACAGCTCTTACGACGTGTCAGCGGGCAGGTGGGACAGCAGGCCCGACTCCCGCAGCATTCCCACTGTGGATCTCCAGTGGTGGCTCTCCAGCACGGACGTGTTCTGTAAAGGAGTTTCATGCAGACTCTGTTACACACACACACAGACAGACACTGACTCCCTGTCAGCACGGCCCTGTGTACCTGGTAGAGGGAGGCCAGGTGGTGTCTGGTCTTGATGAGGAAGGGCTGGTTGACTCCGGGATGGTCCACGTCGTGGGCCGCTGCCGCCATCAGACCCAGAAACACGTCCAGTGGACTCAACTGCTCCGACAGCTAGAACGCACCAGTGGTCGACAGATGATCATCTTTTCCTTTTCCTCGTCGGTTTGTATATATATATTTAGTTGAAGCGTATAAGGATTTAACAGTCGGAAACACATGGATTTTAATTCATAAGATAAGTGTGTGATAATAAATACTGTATGCCGTATAGATCAGGTAAGCCTGACACTGTGAGGGTGCGCTTGTTGTCTGGAAGACGCCGTCGGGGACGCTATGCCGAATTCAATTTACTAATCGAAGGGCTTTTAACAAATCAGGAGCCTTACAAAGTGCTTTGCAGAGAAACAAAGGACAAAGGACAAAATCAAAATCAATTATTGTATAAAGGGAAAGATGCAGAGACTTAATCTGGTCAGAGGGCTTCGGGGATTTATCCAGGCTGAGGGTGGAGGGTGTGCTGGCGAGTCTAAGTGAGGAGGAATTATCCCGCAGGATGAGAAGCTAATAGAATGTCAAGGAGAGGCTCAGGCCTGGTGTGTGTGTGTGTGTGTGTGTGTGAGAGTGTGTGTGTGTGTGTGTGAATGCAGTATGACTCATCACCTTGGGCTCTTGCAGGTAGCAGTACATGGCTTGAGTGACATCAGCAGCATGAACAGCGTTGTGATAGGGATTCTGGGAGTGGTAGTCCTCCTGCACCATGCCTGGCAAGACAGTCATTGCATCTACACTTTCACATTTGAATCAGATCTGAACACCATTTAAGCAACTTTTGCACAACTCATTAGCACAACTCAACTCATTTTCTATTTTGAAAAGGCAGATAGCGCACATTACTTGCACAGAAAGAGGATGCTGAAATGAATACAGATGCACACTTTATTTCCATAGCAACAAACCGCTCGATGTTGCTCTTTAGACATAAACCCTGTGACCCTTCTGTATTGAGTCGTATTTGAACGTTTCTCCAGCTCACCAAGGAACCTGTGCAGCTTGACCATGTCCAGCTGGAAGTGGTGGACAAGACCGGACACATTGAAGAGATGGCACATCAGGGTCACCAGGCTGTTACCTACAGCACACGGATTCAAATCAAGACAAAAATAGGATTTTAATGCATTTACTCTACACATTGTGGGCATTTACTTAACAGTCGCGATAAACAATTTCAATTCTTAACTGAAACGAAGCGAAATATATACTATAAAATTGTTTTAATTGTTGAATGTTTATGACAGGTGAAGGAGGACATTTGTTGAGCAAAAAGCCACTTCACCATTTGTAAGACGATCGAAGAGGAAGATGTCAAAGTTCCACGTGTCCACTTTTGATAGCATGTACTGTGAGGAAAGAAAACAGAGCATTTTGGAAGGTGATTCACAACTGACATGCGGAGAGAGCTGCAGACACAAGGTACATGTACCTCAACCTCTGTGTGTGTGTGTGTGTGTGTGTTCTCACTGCAGCTTGTCCCAGGTAATCGTCGTCCAGTAGATGCAGGGACGGGGGGGCGCGGGGCACCAGACCCCTGAGCAGCCTGGAGGCGTGGCAGTACCTCTGGAAGCTCAGCTGACGCCTCATCTGCCTCCTGCCGGACTCGACCTCTCCCTGCTGGCCACTGGCTGGAATTATAGAAGGATTTAGAAAACAGACTATATATATATATATATATATATATATATATATATGCGGCTCTTGAATGGAACTTTCCGTCAGCCATTACTTGCAGCTGCATGCTCCATCATGTCAGCACCCCAAATCTGTCTCCCGGGATTCATCAAGACTGTTTGTATTGTGTGATGCTGACAGGTGTTTCTACTATTTTGGCCACCCCACCCCATACATTTTTTTCACACTTCCACATGCTTGGAAGGCCAATAGATGTTCAATGATTTGAACCTACTTTTGCTTTTGAGGATCCGGACGTCAATCAGCGGGTAGGAGCCTCGTCTCTCGACCGGCGAGGCGTCGGCGTGACCGCTGGTCCGTCGGCCCCCGGCTGCAAAAGAGGGAAAAGAACGATGGGGGAAGAAACGCAAACTTCATCGCTGCTGATCTGCAACGGCCATTTTTTATTCTTGCAGACGACACAGGAGGAAGGTGAGCGGGGAGGAGAGTGCAGATTTGCAGAGGGAGAAAGAAAGAAACGGCCAGTGAGGGGATGAGAAGAAAATGTCCCCTGCTGCACATTTGATTGTGCAGTCTCAGAAAAGCAGATTTATTTTGCTCTTAAAACCAGCTGGTCTGAAAAGCAGTGATCTTTGACATCGGCGAATCATCGGGACGTAGCGCATCTGGTCTGGGGTCTGCCCAAGGAGAAGGGATTTCACGCCACCGTGCAGCTGTTGCACAAGTTGTTCTTGGTTTTATTAGACACACACGGCATTGTAAACCGTGACTAAATGGAAGGATTTCTTTCTGCTTTTGTTCTACAAAACAGAAAGGTTTTCTATTTGATGGATTGTATGGCAAAACATAGAAAAATTGTAAATTGCTCACATGTTTTTAAGTGTTTCGGACACAGGATGTTTGTCTGCTGCGAGATGTTTCTGCATAGTGACGGCATGCATGTCTGCAGGGTCCCAGAAGTTTAATCATTCAGACTGAGAGCAGGAACACTGCAGCACGGTGGCTCCCTGAAAACCTGAGTGCTCGGCCTCCGTCCGGAACGCACCCTCCACAAACACTGAGGCCGGCCCCAAAAACAGTCCCACGCCACAGCGCCACTCTCAGAACCATGAAAATGAATGAATAATTTATAGATCAGATGGGAGGAAGTGGAGCGCATTATGTCCCCCGATGTGGCCAGTTCGCTTCACCTCTCACGAGAGCAGCCAGACTACCTGTTGGCGAGGCCACCGTTGCCGCGGTAACTCGCAGGGAAGGTTTGGGTCCGGCCTTGCAAGTGTGTGGTTTTGCCGTGCTGAGAATATGTGTGTGTGTGTGTGTGTGTGTGTGTGTGTGTGTGTGTGTGTGTGTGTGTGCGCGCTGTGAAGGCAAGGGAGCTATGCATAAAACATACGCGGGGAAAGTGGCATCGTTCCCCATTTCGGCATCTTATAGTCCAGCCAACAAATAGCGGCTTGAAGGGAAGTGACTCGGCCCGTTAAAGCGAGGCAGAGGCGTTCTGTTTGGCCGGGTTCGAGCGAGCAAAGAACCTCTTTGCTTTCCTTAAATCCTGTGTGCGGATGGGCAAGAAGTGTGTGTGTGTGTCCCTTGACCACCTTGTCCAAAACAGATCAACACACACACACCCCTCTGGCTCTCCCCTTTCGCTCGAGTTCTTTCTCCATCCTTCCATCCTCCTCCACCTTTGGCTACATTTTCTCTCTATCTCTCTCTCTCTCTCTCTCTCTCTTTCTCTCTTTCTCTCTGTTTGTGTCTCCCTGCAAAAGAAGCAATAAACATCCGCCCGTCCATTTCTTTCTGTTCAACTACAACAGCATCGCCAGGTCTCCATCCTTTCCCCTCCCTCCCTCCAAATCCCACTCTTAATTCCCCTTCTCTTCCTGTAACGCTGTGTGAGGTCATCGTCTCAGCGAGGATCGAGGATGCGAGTCGGTAGGAAAGGGTGTTCGTAGCGTGGCAGTGCACGTGTCTCGTCACCAGCAAAAAAACACGCCACACACACGCAAATGAGGTTTAATCCCCTGATTGCGAAATGTGAGAAACAAAGATCCCACACACTCGCGTGGGATGCACGGATGCAAATCTGTGGCCATTGGTGAAAGTCAGACACATGGCTGAAGACAAGCAGTTTGAAAGCACACAGTGGGGGGGAGGGGCGGGGAATTGCGTCTTGTTACGTCCACAGCAGCTGGCATCCACTTAACTTAGTGCGTCCGTAGTGAACCCACGGCTTCACAGTGACAGTGGCCAGATGCGTGAAAAGAGGGATGTGCTCATCGTACATATTTAATGCCAAAGAGATTCTGAAAGGTGTTTTTGGTTCATCGGATAAAAAAAGGAATTGTTGATTAACAGCCAAAAGTTATTGGACACAGTTTCTCATTGAATTAAATTAGAATATGGGCCCAAACTTTTGACTTGTGCTGTGATTAAAATGTCCTGTTTGGTCCAAACACCAGCCCAAATGATAGAAAATCAAACGGAACTAAAGACTTTGACTTGAATAAAAATAGCTTGATTGATGGACTCATAATTTCATAATAATACGTTGTTGTTTTTTTTACTTCGATGCAAACATAAAAGACAAAAACCCAAATCTGAAATGCAGAACTTGACTGGAAGTCGAGTTTTGACTCACTACCACCGGTCGCTCTCTGTAAGCGAGAGTGAGTGGCGTCTCCACGGTACAAAGGGAAACTCGCTGGAACCATTTATCAGTTTTCCACCTGGTGAGTCAGTATTTGAAAACAAGAGATTCCCCCCCCAGCATGAATCATCACGTCAAAATTCTTCAGAAGCACAGTAAAGAATTAAATGTGTTTTTTTGCATTTTCCTTTTTTGTTATCGATCATTAATAACAGTCTGGATCTTGTGTCGCCCGCTGGCTACTGGGCTTGTCACAATCATCCGCGTTAAATAGAACACACCAGTTTAATTCACGTGCTCCTGTGACGTACTTCAGACAGACGGACGAGGCCTGGTTGATTACGTCACGCCGGGTAAGACGGTCTGGCTTCAGAGCCCAAATCCTCCTCCGTCTGACCTGCTGTGACCCTCATCTGCTAAACGCCCCCGGATCAGCACACAGCCAGAGCCGCCCAGGCAGAGACAGCATGTCCACTTGTCAAATAGTAAAACTGAGGCACGAAATCAAAAAAGGTTAAAAAGTTAAAAAGTAAAAAAAAAAAAAACTAGCATCAAATTTAATGGGGCTGAAAAGGAAAACTTGAAATGTCGATGACGAATCTGATCCCCATATAGTTTGACTACATGTAACATGTGTCAGTTACCTTCCACGTGAGCGATCCTGTCCTCCACGTCGCGCCTCACCTCCTCCACCTCCTCCTTGTCGGATTCCCCCCAAGTGCCGGTGTGACTTCCTCCGGGCCCCCGGGGGCCTCCCCTGCGAGCCCTCCACGCCGCCCGCAGCTGCCGTACGAGAGCCGGAAGCTCCAGAGCCAGCGACAGGCCCCCGCAGCCGATAGGAGGCGTCCTCAGGGGACCCCAGAGGCCCGGGTGAGGAGGCTCGTCCGGACCCCGGAGCCCCTCCGGCACCGGCATCGTCTCTCCACAAGACAGATGTGGGGCAGATGTGTGACAAGCGGGTGTGCGATGGAATGACCGCCGAAGTAAAACGCGGCCGGTGGGGTTGGAAACTCGCGAAGGGGGACATGCACTGTGAAGGGACAGCGCAGGAGACAAGAAGTCAGGATGTAGGACAGGAGAGGGAAGGCTGCAGGGGGGCAGCGGGACGGGGCGGGGACACCGTGGGAGCGGAGTGATAGAAAACAAATAAAATTTAATAAAAAGACACAGCGAAGACAAGAGACGGAAGCGGGGAAAAGACTAGAACAAAAGAAGTGCGAGTCCGTCTCTGTCTCCTCTCTCTCCCGGAGTCTGCGTCCTCCCTCTGCCGCATTCTCTCTCCTCTCCGCCGGCTCCCTCGCGCCGGTGTTGTTGTTGTGGAGTGCGAGAAGCCCCGCCCCCCGCCCCTCCTCCTCCCCCCGCGTGCACGCGCGCTCCCTCACTCTTATACACGGAGAAATAGTTTGTGTGTTCACGGACACGCGCTCGTGGTCAGGTCAGTGGGGACAGACATACTTTCATACATTACTACAAAACAGTGTGACGCTACAAATAATTATTTATTTGAATTATTTAGCTGATTGTTTTACCTATAAAATTATTTTTTTACATATTATATTTGTCCAAAACCTGTTGACGCTCACGCAACAACAGTTTATAGATAATAGAGAAGACTTCTATAAGGCCGGACGGAAGAAACTTCTTCTTATTCTTTAAATTCTCTCCTGCAGCATCAATTGTGTTTGCAGGAAATCATGTGTAACATCAAGTAACATCACGGCAGACTCCAACTTATTTTATGTGAAGGGAAGTAAAACAATTTTGTTTTTAACAGTGAGTCACCCTTCACAAAGTCTTTACTGGCATAAAACAACCTCAGCGGGTTTATTTAGATTTATTTGGTCTGAAAATTGCTGTCGTGGAGACTTTCCAGCCTAAACACGACTATTTCTGATAGAAGCAGAATAACAAGACTTTGTGAGGCTCTCGGGAGATGTTTTTAAAACTGTCAGGTGCAAACAGAAAAGAAAATTTATTGTGAATATCACAAAGGCATCGAAGCTGGAGGTCCGGAGCCTCCCAATTCCAAGTGAAGCCTTAACATGCATTCCCTGTGGCTGAACTAAAACACGTCAATCAAAACGAACACAATCGGGTGAATGGAAGTAAAATAACGCCGCCGGTCTCTGCACGCAAGCATGAAGTATGTACGACTATAAGCTTTGGTTTTATTCACATAGAAAGGTCACATGACACCCACACACAACTCTTATTTTTGGATTGTGCTGAAGGATGCTACTGGTCACATGGTCTGGCAGGTCGCTGCAGAGAAGCGATTTAATGACATGCGTCTGTACATTTCTGCTTGTTTTGCGCGTATGCATGTGCACAGGGGAGTTTTAACGTTTGCCTCACACTTGCACAAAGTCAAGCACCTGTTCAAGCAACTGTTGAACAATCTTAACACAATTATGAGAAAAAGAAAATAACTTTTGCTGCGTTTCAAGGTCGGAGACTGTTTTGATAAACAGCTGCATTTTACAGATACTGCTTTAAAAACACGCCTGTATCGAGCACCACTTTTTATTCAACCATCCAACCACAGCGATGAGCCTCGCACGGGGCCAAAAGGTCAGCGGCAGTCCGTAGCACGTATCATTGTGCCTCTATGACTGTCTATTTACCACAATATAGCCTAATTAATAGACCTGTATTCAAAGCCTCACACCACATGTTCCATCAAACAAAAAAGTGCAACAAATAAAGTACTTTTTAAGGAATACAATGTGTCAACACATGACAAAAATAACAAAACATGAGGAGAGCTAGTCTGTGACGTTTAGCGTGAGAAATTGGATGTGTGGCGTGGGTGTGTGTGGCGTGAGTGTGTGTGTCACACGGTGAAACCGTGAGAGTTGGCAGACACTGCAGACCGCAAACAGATGTCGCTTCAGACCACAAGCAGATTCTGCTCACGCTGTGGTCTGCAGGGTCCGGTCTGCGGGGTCCGGTCTGCAGGCTGAACGCTGTAAATCTGTCAATACACTGGCGTGACACAACACACAAGGCCCGCTGTCACTAATCGCTGCAGCGTGTAAAAGAACACATCTTTCTAAACCATTTTACGACCTACCATATTTTAACTTCTTTAGAATCATTGACTTTTTTTCGCCTTAAGATATTTGGACGTTTGTTTCAAAACATTTTGGACCAAATATATTTTGACTTGATTGTCTTTGACAGTTTACAACCTATTTCTTTTTACAACCTAACATTATTTGATCTAGCATATCTTCAAAAAACATTTTATGATCTTTTATATTTTTTACATTGCATCCCATTTAAAGTTTAGTTTGTAAGATCAATTGACAAGATATTCTTCCTTTTGTAATAAAAACTGTGGGACACAATTGAATTTTTCAGTCTCAACTTTGAATATGTTAGGATTTTAAGCAGTAAAAGCACGCCTGGCAGTAAAAATTACAATATTAGTATTATGTTTATGATATTGACAACATAATATTATGTGATATGAGAAATATGATGTTATGTTAGTGATAATGTGGATAATAGTGGAGATGGTTGTGGATTTCCGGCGGAACAGAGCCCCACCCTCCCCCATCACCCTGTGTGACTCCCCCGTCACTATTGTGGATTCCTTCCGTTTCCTGGGCTCCATCATCACCCAGGACCTCAAGTGGGAGCTGAACATCAGCTCCATCACCAAGAAGGCTCAGCAGAGGTTGTTCTTCCTGAGGCAGCTGAAGAAACTCAACCTGCCAAAGACGATGATGGTCCACTTCTACCCGGCCATCATCGAGTCCATCCTCTGCTCCTCCATCACCGTCTGGTACGCTGCAGCCACAGCCAAGGACAAGGGCAGGCTGCAGCGTGTCATCCGCTCTGCAGAGAGGGTGATCGGCTGCAATCTGCCGTCCCTGCAGGACTTGTTCGCTTCCAGGTCTCTGAAGCGAGCTAAAAAGATCGTGGCCGACCCCTCTCACCCCGGACATAAACTGTTTGTGCCCCTTCCATCGGGGAGGAGGCTGAGGTCCATCAGGACTAAGACCTCCCGCCACACCAACAGTTTCTTCCCGTCGGCAGTCGGGCTCATCAACAGAGCCCGGTCTCCCACTGACTGACTATAACATTCCACCAGTCACTCCCCTTCACACTGCACACGCCACTTTAACTGCAATTTATCACTTTGTAGTCACTCGTCACTTTGTTACTTGTTCGCTATAGTGCACTTTATGCTTAATATTTTTTTTTAACTTTTTAAATATTTTAAATTTTTAACTTTAACTTTATTCCCTTGTTTTACACTAACCCATAGCCTTATTCTACTAACCCATTGCATTAGCATTTCATTTTACTTTATTTTATTACTTGTGCACTGCTGTCTTGTTGTCTATTGCAGTGTTTTTCAACCAGTGTGCCGCGAGAGGCTGTCAAGTGTGCCGTGAAAAAAATCATTTTTTACATACTGTCACTTCATTGGTGACAAAAAAAGAGCCAACTTGTGTGTGCGTGTGTGTGTGTGTCGTCGCGCTGTTGGTGGTATGAAGGCTCAATACTCCCCTCTGCCTGCGGGTAGCGGTACGCAGCGTAATTAATGGGCAGATTTGCTGAGGCGACCATTTAAAAAAGTGAGATTTAAGGCTGGCGCATGCTTCTGCGTCTGCGTCTCTGTCGTTGCGTCGACGCACTCATTTCAATTCGTGGTTCTGCGTGTGTTGCAGAGTAATTCACCCCCAGAACAACAGGCGGAGTGACGTGTTTTTGTTGAAGACGACCTAGAGAGTCACGTCTATTTATTTATTTGTTTGTTTATTTATCATATATTTTATTGTCCCGTGCATCGCCGCTGCTTTTCATCGCGGACACATTTGTCCCGTATTTTCCTCCACAACTTGGCGCACCTCTCGACCGGCAAACCGGCGTTTGCGGCGATCTCGCTCCGTGAAACCAAACCCGCTTCTACAACCCGCCAATGACGGCTTGTAGAAGCGCTCATATTTACGCATTTCTTCCGACAAAAGTTCTTAAATCGGATCCGTTTCTCTCGTAAACATTCTTCGTTTTAATAATGGCGCTATCGGGCTGTGAAAGCGGAAACGCGAGACTCCGTAAAGGACGCAGTTAGCGGACCGATCGCAGCCCGGTGCGCTGCGGGAGGCTTGCGTCGCAGAAAAATGTCCCGAAGGACGCAAGGACGCAAGGAGGTGTGAAAAGCGACGCAAGGGACAACGCAGAAGCATAAACTAGGCTTAAGAGATACGTGGGCATAAAGCCTGTGCCATCTTGTCATTAGGATGATGTTACGTTTAATAAAACACAACAAATAGAACACGCGTTTCCCTGATTTCTTAGAGTACATTATGCTCACGCTGAAACTATGTTTGGGATTGATTTTCATATCACTTCCGGTTGTTGGTGTGCCGTGAGATTTTTTCTGTGTCTTAAGTGTGCCTTGACGCAAAAAAGGTTGAAAAACACCTGGTGATAACAGTAATGTGTTGTTATGACACATGATGGTGGATGACATGTTATGATGGTTTTATATGATAAATGTTGATTGAAGAAGCTTTGAGCCGAAGGTATAATCACTGAACGTGTTATTGATGAGGTTAAGAACTCGATGGGACAGCGATGGGTTCCGGATTGGTTCACGGGGTGGGGCCAGGGGGCAACAGGTGCTGATGCAATGATGGACATGGTGGACGTCCAATCTGCGCCGAGCTACGTCACATCCCCCATAACAAATCCATCCCGACAAGCGGCAGATTCAACCGGAGTTCCTGACCGGGGCGGTAAGCATGTTTTGTAATTCTACTCGCGTCTATTAGTTACTAAATCCTTTGACTTCAACTTTAGACGGTAGTTTTTTTGTTGTTGTTCCTGCTTCGCCGCAGAGTTAGGCAGAAAGTGAATGCGGGGTCTACTTTTGACGCATCAAACCCGCGCGAGGCGTTCGAGACGCTTCGCCACCGTCCCGAATGATGACAGCAGCGCGCGGGCGAACCCAGCTGTGTCCGATACACTGTTGCAAGCGGTATCGGTCGAACTTTATTATAAACCACGTTAGTACAAAGTTCCATAAAGTTGGACCGTACTAAGCCACGCCCCCCTGTTTACCCGGATGGGTAAGGTGGTTCCCGTTGTGTGAGAGCGGCGTGAGACGTCCCGAAATCCCCACGACTCAAGCCATTCGATTGCGTGACCACGCGTGTGTCTTTTTTCAGGAATATAAGGAAGGACCGAAATGGCGTCGGGCGAAGAAACAAACACCTCTGCGAGTTCGGCCGAAATACAAGTATGTGGTAAACTCTGTCAAAGTGCTGCAGTTTCGGAGCTTATTATTGTATCAAAATCAAATGTCCGCGTATTTACGGTGTGAACAGCTTCTCCGTGCTAGTTATACATGTTTCATTGATGCTTTAAAAGCTTTTCATGGCATTCTGTGCACGACTCCACCCTGCGTGATACCTTTTTGGTGACATTGCAGACGTCCGTCCAGTGTGTGGACAACGCGGACGGAGTTAACGGTGTAGTCGTCTATGGTGGTGAAACATTTGCTATGACCTCGGAGCCGGTAAGGGATGCCGTTCGGTTTGAGGTGCACAGGCCTAAACTATTCAAATAGTTGGTGTTAAATCAAAAGAAAAAACGATCCTGTGTGTGTTCCTCTCTCAGCATGGCCTGGATTCCTTTATAGAATGGAGCTGTGCGGATGGACAAGGCCCCTACAGGTTAGTTCAGCTAAGTGCTATACATTAAGAGAATATACAAGGAAACACGAGGCACAATAGGACATAAAAGACATATACATATAAAAGGGTTCAAATGAGCCCAAACCGATTAAATCCAATGCCGTAGTTTGCCATTTTCTAGTTGATTTAAGGTTTGAACTCCCCCCGTAACACCTGGAATATGTCTCCCTTGGGTTTCTAATAAAGACATCTTTAACAACTGGTTCATGTGAACCAACTCGCTTGGTGGACTCTGGACTAATCCACTAACCTCTGTGTGCACCTGTTGACTGTAGTTCTGTGAGACCGTTCCAATTCCCGAGGATCACGAGGATGAGGCAACTGTACGGATGAGCATGTAAATTAGAGGCGCCGAGCTACAAGAAGAGTGATTTCTTTATGGCATTAATATAAACACCGTGATCTTGTATTTTCTTTTGTGTTTCCACAGAAAGAAGAATGAAGGACGCAAACACCTTTAATGTACATATGAAGCTATTACGTTTACCTAATGCCTTTTCTTTGTAACAAGCACCGCTTGTTCCTCCCTCACTGAGAGAAAAACACTCGACTAGATCACGACTCTTTGCCGTACGGCTCCGAAATGGTGGCCCGAGCTCTCCGGTGACACCAGGACCGCAGAGAGCCTTCACATCTTCCGCCGCAAACCAAAGACACACCTCTTCAGACTTATTAAGTCGCTTTGGATAAAAGCGTCAGCTGAATGTAATGTAATATTTAAGGAATCACAGACATTGAATCAGCTCTGGGAAAACTGGCCTTGGATACTTTTAAAGAAACATATGAAATGATCATTACACACAATGAGGTGACTGATGTGGGAATGTGAATATTGAGCTAGTTATTCTTTAGATAACCAAAATGTTGAATATAAATAATATAAGAGATGTTCTTAGTAGTCTAACTACTTATTTATTACAGATGTAGTTACAAACATCAAACTGACATCATTTATTTATCAGTATAAAATGATATTGTATTTATAGAACTGTTTAAATAACTGAAAAATAAAAGACAAAACATATATGGGATGTAGTATCAGTTATTCGGCGCTCACATTTTCCTTCAATGTTCAGCAGCAGCTCAGCTGTTTGAGCGGACAAATAGAAGTAATGGTTTGTAAGACAGGATACGGCTTTTTTAAAGATATGATACAAGTTCTGCTTTACGTTGTAAATTATTGTGCTCACTACGTCATCCACTGCAGCAGCAAAGGTAAGACAAGTGGTACGAGAAGTGGATGATAAATAACTTCATGAATATTAATGTGTTTTGAAGTAAAATATGTATATAATATTAAAAGGTACTTCTTTCTCCAAGTCAAAAGCCATTTACTCAGCGTTTGGTACAAAATGGACGCCGCTCATGTGACTCAACTAATCGCCGCGTCAGCTGTTTTGCAGTTTCAGCCTTCGACAGTCAAGTTGCAGTTTGCATCCACGTCCGTCCAAAATGCCGTCATTCAATTCGTCTTGGTGGCAACGGTCAAATCAAACTCAAACCAGACTTTGAAATATGCCTAAATTTCCAATTTGGTAGAGGGGAAAAAAACCCAACAAGACAACTGCAAGAAAATTGATCAGTGCGCTTTAACACTTTAATATACAATTAAAACAGTCTGAAAAAAGCTGTTGCATAGAATAGAGCCGCGTGAATCTCAGCACCCACTGTTCATTTCACTTGGTTGAGGTAAGAATTAAGCCCTCAGCAAAGTTACTTTAAGCAGGATGACAAAGCTCCAGTGCATACCTGCTTTTAATACATTATTACATTAAAAAAAGATATTAACATCGGAATAACACTGAAAACACAAGACTCCATTCAACAAAAACAACCGAACCAAAATGCCTTTTCCAGCAACCGCTGTAACACAAACACACGTTCGAGCCTCCCAACAATAAGATACGTAACAGACACAAAAACACTTCGCTCATCGCGAGACACACACGCTTTCAACAACAAAGGAAAATAAAAATGAAGTGGAAGTTAGCTGCAGTAGTAGTTGGTCTGAGAGGCACATCCATGGGAAGCTGTGATTGGCTGTCTGACCGTTGTGGTCAGAGGTGGCGGCGCCCCTGACTGCGTCTGATTTTGGGAGGAGCCTGAAACACAGGAACCAGATTAGCTCGCCGGGCGACAAGAGGTGTGTAGTTAAAAGTTGTGCGTCTCCACGGGGGGAGTAGAGGGTGGGGGGGGGCACAAACCTTGGGCGTTTCCGGACTGCCGAACGGCGAGACCTCGAGTGAGTTTTCTTTATCGGAGGAGTTGTTGTGGCGATGCTGCGCAAACTTCCTCTTTAGCGCCTCGGCGATGAGCGCCGCCGGGTCACTCAGCAACGCTGGACCCCCCTTGCTGCGTCTCCGCCCGACTGGCGTGCCCCCCGGGGATCTACAGGGACGAGAAGGGAAAGCGTTGAAGCGGGCCGGATTCTGGGGACGTCCCTCCGCTCACTCCTCCCCCTCCCAGGAGACAATGACGGCAGGCGTCAGCGGGATGATGCACAACATTTAACAATTACATTTGACTCCTGCTAATACGCATTAACTCGCTTTCACTGAAAACGAGAGCATTGTGCACTAAAAAGGACACAACGCGGTATATTTTAGGATATTCCTGTTGGCAAAGCCGAAATAAACACAGCCATGTCCTTCCGTCCCCAATGCCCACCTCTCCACTGAACGCAGCTTCACTTGGTTCAAGTCCTTGAGCACATCCAGCATGGACGGGAACCCTTTTGCCTTCAGGTCCTGGGGCGGAGCCTTGACCAGGTTGCGTTCGTTCCTCCTGCGCAGGCGGATCAGCTCTATTATAGACGGAGCCTCGGTGGAGGAGTCAGAGCAGGGAGGAGGAGGTGGTGGAGGAGGTGGTGGTGGTGGTGGGGGAGCAGCACAGCGAGGCGTGGAGGTGCGAGCCGCCGGAAGCGTGGAAGACGTCGTGGGCGAGCCCGGGGTGCTGCGGGTCTCCGTCAGACCTAACGAGACGATGAAAGAGAACACAGAGCGCTCGACTCGCCGTGCTTGTGTATTTTGTGCAAAGAGGCCGAGTCTGCATAAAATAGGCGTGCAACCTGCGGCGGGGGCGGCAGTGACGATCATGGCTATCTGAGCTCGCAGTTTGAGCAGCTCGCTCTCCAGCGCTGTGATCTTCTTCAGAGCGTCCGAATCAGCCGATCCGCCTCCCCTCTGGGCTTTACCCTGGGCCCGTCCGGGGCATCTCAGCACATCCCCATTCACAGCGTCTCGCTTCACTGGAGGTAAATGGTTCCTATGGAGACAATACATTAACATTTCCCCATCTAAAACAAATATTATGTCTCTGTTAACTGCAGAAAGATGATCCGATTCAGTGCTTTCTTCCCTCTACAGAGATCAGAGTACTCCTGCTTCAACATACCCATGTATCTACATGACCGCTGCATGAACTACTTATTAATTTAGATCTCAGACACATTGCATTTGGTCAAATCCAGCGTTTTGCAGATTGAAGAACTAAATTTAGTCACAAACTAACTATTTAGTCTCAAACTGCAGTGGCCAACATTGACCTGGCCGTGTTTGCATCGTGCCCGCTTGAGTCATCACCTGGTCTTGGCGAAGCTTTCCCCCTCATCCTCAAACACCCAGAGGACGTCAGCAAACGAGGGGATGGCCGGCGTCTCCGCGGTGGTGTCCACGTAACCGTTGGGCCTGTAGCCCAGCAGAGGGACCTACGGACAACGCATAGACACGGTTTGCACGACCATCAAATACGTGGATGTCTTTGACGCGAGCCAGTTGTCCTGGTTATAAGCGGTCTTAACAAAAAGCACATACTTCCAGCCAGCGGCCGTGTCGACTTTGGAGCGGTAAAAACAAAATGTATGGTTTCACGTACTCTGTCAGAAAGTGGGACAGTACCTGAAAGTGCACGCGTGGTGTCGGCGTCAGTGGGAGGTTGGTCCCGATCATGCGCACAACGCTGCGATACTGGCCGCACAGCTGACTGTCCCACACCGGAACCAGCTACGAGCGAGACAGCACCCGCACAAACACAGCCTTGGTTAAAAATTGCACTCAACGGGTTCACTATTAGGGAGAAAAGGCGACACTGCCGGTGATACTTGGCACCGATAACAACAAAGAGCGTCTTTGAACTCACCATGTCAGGAGGCACTCCAAAGTACTCCAGGACGATGTGCAGCACGTCCAGAAAGTCCTCCACTAAAGACATCGGAGGGACTTTTGTTTGCTCGCACCAGCTGATGACGGCAAAGATCCTCTTTCTACTGACTGACTTGAAAGGCACCAAGTCACATGCTTTACACCTGGAAATAAACAACACAACAAAGTCACAACTTGAATCCCCGAAGACGACAAACCAAGCCACAAAGCTCAGTGTGGTTACGCACATCCATTCATACACGAAGAAGACAACTACAACAAACTAATGTAAGTTCTTATACCTCTGGGAGACTTGAAAAGAACTGGCTTCTATGTTTCACCGGCTCCGCTGCTGTAATGTTGTCTCAACGGGCCGAATCGGATGAGACCTCAGCAGCTCACGTGGGACTCTGCAGTTAAAAGTCTTCTCTAAGAAAGAGAAAGTAGATCAACATAACCATAATATGTAATATAACCGAATGGTTTATGGGAGCGGGGGACGCCAATCGTGAACCATGCACACCTGCCAACTGCTGTGGGACATTTATTCATTTCAAGTGTTTATTATAATAATACTTTCTGATTCTTAACAATCTTAATGTCTCTCGTTCGAACCCATTCAAGTAGCCTCCTGTATACTGAATTAGCTCAAATAAATCTCCATAGGCATTCAACTTAAATTATAATCCCCACCAAAAAAAACGAACGACAGTCTCTAAAACAAGTTGAATGCCAGAGAAAATGCAATCGAAACCTTTTCGGACGTCCTTCATCCAACTTTAATTGCACGAGCCTCTGCAGAGCATCGCTGAAGTCAATTTGTCACCTGGTTACAAAGCAGCGCTGCGGGAGGCGGTTGTCTCCCGCTGGATGCTGACTTGGCTGTAAAATGGTATTAAATCGGCACACCCGACGGTCCCCGGTGGAGTTTCATCTTTAAACCTTAAAGGAGTTCGCGGTTACGCGCTCGGGGCCACGCAGCGTTTCCTCCCGCAGAGCTGCACGGCTCATCACGAGTAAACCGCCGCAGCGACGCGCAAACGTGCGCGATGAAATAAAACATGTGCGTACTTACTGTGGACTTTTTCTTGTCAAACCGAGCATCGGTAGCTACGTTAGTTCCGATATCTTCATATTAACTATTAGCGTGAGCTGTAACTGCAGATAAACACCAAGAACTCGCAGCTTTGCTCTCAGCTCACGCGAACGGGAAGGAAGTCCATGTGAAGTCAAATAAAGCCGCAGTAGCGTCAAGCCCTCTGATTGGCTGTAGATGCGGAACTAGTGTGAGGAGCCAATAGGAGTCGGCGATGGTTCAGCGGAGGCAACGGCCGCTCGACCAATCCCTCGCCACTAAAACCGAGCACCAAATTTGTATTTTTGTACACGAGCTGCCGCTTGTCCCGGGTAGGAATACATCTTATAAACTTGATTTCACCACATCCATCGATCTTTACGGGTGTTATAATAATACTTGCTGTTTGAATCATAATTATGTGTTCAAACAGTGCAACGGAACAAAAGTGTTTCGCTTTTAGCCGGATAGCTTCTTCACGGTTCGAGGGTAGTAAGCTAACGTTAGCATGTTTAGCTAGCCACGACGTTAACGCTCGCGCTGCGACTTATAGAGAGAACGCAATTTAGAGAGAACGTTCATCAACGCACTGATTTGTCTGTTGTTGTTTTCTTTTTTTAAACTAACGACGTTGCCGTTGTCAGTTTCAGACCCGGTGGAGGAAACGAAGATGATGGATGCACTGTCAGTAGTGAGTCAGCTGCGGGACCTGGCCTCCGAGCCGCAGAACCGAGAGGTGATCGTCCAGGATCAGGGCTGTCTCCCCGGCCTGGTTCTCTTCCTGGACCACCAGAACCCGGACGTGCTACTTGCAACTCTTCAGGTGGGGGATGGAGGCCGGCCGGGCATGTTCTGTTTGTTTTTGTTTATTTGTTAATCCACTGTCCTCTCCTGCTGAATAGATGTTGAATGACCAGGACGTGTCCAACGCTTTCATGTATGTGCTGCATGTTTGAATACGTTTTTGTCACAATCTGTCCTCAGACGCTGCGCTACTTGGCTGAGTTGACCCCCAACATCTCCACCATGGCTAATGAACTGGGTATGATGGTGAGCTTGGAAAATCTAATTGGGAGGTGAGGTGATCATTTTTGTCTCCCCACTCGTCATTTATAATAACACTGTATAACTTCAGCAGTGGATCCAAATGATGTGAGCTTTTAGATCGAGATAGATAGATAGATACTTTATTGATCCCTCGAGAGGGAAATTTTGGTGTCACGGCAGCATGTACAGGGATGAAATAGAATTAAGATACACATTATATACAATATAATAAGATAAAACATTTTAGATTATTAAATAAAATAAAATAAAACAAAAGAATAACCTTCATGAGCAATAATAATAATAATTTGTAAAAGGGGAAGAGGTAGAGCAGCAACATCACAAATGTATACTATCTGTTTAGTCAACCTAGAATTAGACCCCAAACCAGGCTGTCTTAAATATATTTTTTTCTCCATATAGGGACAGCTTGTCTGTTGACATCACTTCCTTGGCCAAAGAGCTGTTTGACATTCTGAGCGCGCCCGTGCCGCGCGTACCTGAGCGGCAGAGTAGGAAGAAGACTCAGTTCTTCATCAACTCTGCCCAGAAGAAGGCCAAGTCTGTCACGCTTCACATCCATGGGCTGGACAGCACTGTGAGTACGCAGCCAGAATCACACTCACACACACATCAAAACATCTGTAGTCATTATTATAAAACTCCGCCAGTTGCTGCTAACTAACGAGTTCTCCATCTCGTGTCAAGGACCAGCGAGGTTTGTGTGAGGAGGCTCTTCTAAAGGTCAAAGGAGTGATCAGCTTTACCTTCCAGATGGCCTCCAAGAGATGCACGGTCCGCATCCGATCCGACCTGCCCACCGAGGTAAAACACAAACCTCTCCAATCAGTGTCTGCTTAGGAAGCAACTGACCTGGTAAAATACGAATGTGTAGCCCTGTGGTTATATTCAACATTAGTATTATGGCGTTATCAAATCTGCACAAATGTGATGTACAAAAACAGTTAATCTGAGTCTTTTAATACTCGTCATCTCGTTTTTCATTTCCAGAGTCTGGCATCCGCCATTGCTGCCACTAAGGTATTGTCCGCTCAGCAGGTGGTAAAGAATGAGGCAGGAGTAGAGGTGAGCGCTGGTCATAGAGCACACGTTTTGGGGCTAGGGAGTGTTTTCACACCTAACTCCTAATGACTTCTCTCCATTCGTTTTCCTCAGGTTTTTATCCCTCTAAACCCGTCCGAAGTGGAGGTGCAGCAGAACTTGGCTCTTCCGGACTACCTCCCCGAAGAGGAGAGCCCAAAGAGGGAGGTCGACCGAGCAATTTCCCGCACCACAGCGAAGGAGGATTCCAGCGGAAGCTGGCTCGGCTCCGCCGCCAGTTTCCTCACCAAAACGTTCTACTGGTGAAGCTGGAGCGGTTTGGTTCTCTGCGACGCAAAGTCGTGCTCAAAGACTCCAACTGCTGTTTGTTACAGAAGAGGACATAAATGGGTGTTAGCACTGGCTTTGTGCGCACGGCCAACTTCAACAACTTCTTGTAATTACTAAAGTTATCAACTTTATTTGAATGGAGACACTTGATATTTTGTCTCTGGACTTTTTTTCTATCCATTTGATTTTCATTACATGTACATATTTTCTTATCAGTCGAACTGTCCATTTTCTCTCGCATGTAAAGTAGCACGTATATGACTGTTGCCGTCTATACAGTTGGAAAACTGCTTTGTAGTTTTGGTTTATGCTAAAATAAATTCTTATTCAATTCTGTATTTCGGACCACGGGGGAGAAAATGATTGAAACACCAAATTGGTTAATCAATTCAAAGTTTTATTCACTTGCCAAACAGTACAGCTCAAAGATCTCGTCCCACAGCCTCTCGTGAAGTAAAGGGCTTGTTTTTCGAGCCTTCGTGGTCAGTCTTAGTAAAATATATCTGCTCTCAAACAATTTATAGGATATGTATAATATTATTTACAAGCAATTTATTTTAATAAGTCAAGAATAGAATTGTATGTACTTCTGGAAGAAACCAGCACCACATAACCAAGTTTCTTTCTCTTTTTGGTGGTACAAACAGGTGATTTTGGTTTCAGTGTTTTATGCTATTCCCCTTGTCTTTCATTCACAAAAAGTTGCTTTGACAGTTTTCATAAACTTCAAGCTGCTGACCAGAGTGTGCTGGGAATGCATGGCTTCATTTCAGCAAGGAAGACAAGTCACCTCTTTCTCCCTGTGATGCGGTAAGGCAAAGGAGCGTCAAAACAAACACATCGGATTATTTAAGATTAAACATCACCAGCAAATGATTTTGTTTTGAGAAAATAAATAGTCCACCTCCAACACCGGCCGAGTTAGACGTGGCCACCCACGTCTAATTCGATGGAGTAAATCTAAACGGTAAACAAATTAAAGGAAAGGGCAGGACTTAACGTCAAAGCAGATTCTTTTTTTTCCTAAATTCCTAACAGACATTACCGAGGACGACAAAGAATTACATTTCATCTGTACAGAATTGAAATAAAACTAAACAAAAACAATCAGTTTACACCATAATTCTCAGTTGACAGTATTTTCATTTAACTTAAAGCACATTACTCCAGTGCCCCTGCCTCACCCCAATAATAACCTCTAGTCTTAAACACTGGACACAGCAAAAGTACATTACACTTCATGCACCGACATTATTCCTTTATCCCATTTCAATGGAAACATTGAAGATGTTTAGTTATGAGGCTCCAGTTAAAGAGTGCAAACGCGTTGATGAAACCTGGTTATTCGGAGCCTGTTGCGCAAGTTCCAGTTCAAACGACGATTACAATGTGTTGTACAGCAACAACAAAAAAAAATCTCTTCAAGTATTGTGGCTGATCTCATTTTAGCGCACGCGCACACACACGGCTAGTTGTGACGGAGTTATTTTGGGAGATCTTTAGGAAATGGCCGCGGTGCTCTTCTGTCGGGGGAGGAAGTGAACCTCTGCAAGGCTCCGACTGCTGCTGCGAGTCCTTCCTTTGATTCAGTGCAACAGCGTCGGGGGAAACCTCTCTGAGGCCGTCTCACTTCACGTCTCTGTGGGTGTGGAATCATCTCGATCCAACGGGCGCATCAGGCAACATCTAAACAAAACAAGGGCAACAAAGACAACGGCTATGACGTAAAGAAAACACCAACACAGTTGTGATAAATATTACAGGTTGTCCACTAAGGAGAGTTGGTGGAGAAGAAGTGGTTTACTAGATATTATTGACCTGGTCCCTGATGCAATGAGATATCCTCTATTCCACTCAGAGGCTTTGTGAGACCGTTCTCCCTGAAGGCTAAAACAGGAACTCGCTCCTCCTGCTCCTCCTCTCCCTCAGGAGGAGACCACCTGGAATCGGAAGGCAGTACAATCACCTCTTCAAACTCCCCGTTCTCCCTGGAAAAACAGGATTGAAGGAAAGTGTCAACGGAATCACAGCCACCGGGGGCACAACGTATAGAAGAACAGAAGGCTTCTCTTGTATATTGGGTCTGCTGCAGCACCACCTCTGGTCGGGGCGGCTCAGCGCTGTGGCGTTGGACTCAGGTCGGTGGCCGCTGCCGTTGCTGTTGAGTGTCGGTGACGCCGCCGCCGCAGACGGACTTGGAGCGGCGGGAGTCACTGATGGCGAGAGAAAGATCAAAGTCAAACACGACGTCATGGGAACGGATGAAGTTGTAATCCTGCAGAGACATTACCTGCGTCGTCCCCGTTCCTGTTGGGAACAGCTTTCTACGGATGGAAAAGGACAAAAGCAGAATGAACCCGCATGTTCTCCGTGGTTGGTTAGACAACACATGTCCGTTTGGCCTTTACCTTCTCTGCCGTGTCTGAACGTCTCGTTCTCTTCATGATCTCCTCCAGACGCTGAAAGAAATAAGCTTTTACGCGCACTGCACATGAGGAAGATTCCGTCACAGTTGTTACACAGTCGTTTGTGTGTGAACCTTTTTACGCTCCAAGCGCTCGGCCTCCGCCTTCTGGAAGTGTTTCTCTCTCTCCAGTCTCACCCGCTCCGCCTCTTCTTTTTGCCGAGACTCTTCCTCCTCTTTCTAACAAACACAAACAGCCACAGAGTTTTATTTTATTGTTGCATCCACAGACGTGCACTCAAGAGTCCGCTCGGAGACGTTCTCTCACCTGCTTCTGGAGTCTCTCTGCCTCCTCTCTCTCTCGCTGAAGCCTCTCCTCCTCCACCTTTTTTTCCACCTTCCTCTCCTCCTCCTCTTTCCTTCTGGTCTCCTCCGCCTGAAGCTGAGCCTCCTCCTCTCGCTTCGCCCGCTCCTCGGCCTTACGGCGAGCCATCTCCTCTTGCGCCGACCTGCACAAACACCCGAGGGGGTCACATTCGAGGACGCGCGTGCACCTTCGGAGGTCGTAGCGAGTTCAGCGGCCAGCTTACCTCCTCTGCTCCTCCTGTTGCTTTCGCTCCTCTTCCTCCCTCTCTCTCTGCTCGCGGGCCAGGCGCCGATTCTCGGCCAGGATCCGGCTCGCCTCCTCTGGGTCTGTGGTGCCTGCTGAGGGCTTGTGGGCTGGTGGACTGCAAGCGCTCTCTGGAAGGCATCGTAGATGAGAATTTGAACCTGGGAATCTGGTTAAAAAAAATGGTGAAGTGGATTTGAAAAGGGGGGCAACTGACCGCTGGCTGCTGTAGCGGCCTGTTCACTACTGGTCCTGTTCTGACCCAGCGGCTGAAGCCGAGGCTGAAGAGGACTGAGAACCTGCTCGGCTTCCTCCTCTTTAGGGGCTTTGGTGGGTTGGGGGCTCTCTGGCGTGGCCCTGAAAGGACGGAGATTTCCAGGGTCATCTGCCCCCGGAGACTTAAGCAGCTTGGGAGTTGGGGGTCGCCCAGGTGACTTTTGTGGAGGCCTGTGTGCAGGAACAAAAGCTCTTAAAAACAATTTTTTATTTGATGTTGTTTACTTACAAAACCTTATTATACCCTCACCGGGCGGCTGCTAGTCGTCCACAAGTCCAATTTGTCCCGATTCTGCCACTTTAACTCATTTTGTCATGCATCAATGTTGGGTTCTCCTACCTGCCAGGTGAGGGCGCTGTCCCTTTTCTGCTCTTCTTGCCTGGAGAAGAGGAGCGCTTTCTGGGGGGCAGAGTGAAAATAGGAGCCAAGGGTAGTGACAGGTTGCTCCATGACTTCCTGACGTGGTCACGGTCCTTCTGCTGCTGTTCCAGGAGATGGAGGGGAAAAAAAATGAGTTAAATAAATCCTTTTTACTACGGCCAGGATATTAGAACCCAGGTGAGAGAGTGGATGAGTGGTATCACTCATACGTTGGATTGTGTCTGGATTATGAACATGTTTGGTGTACATGTATGAGGTTGTCTACAGGTCCCTGTGTGGAATAAATAGTACATAAGATGTCCTAAGACTGTAATGGTATAAGCTGCGACACAGCAGGAGACAGATGGACAGCGTGTACCGCATTATGTGTGTTTGTGTGTGTGTGTGAGGACCACAAACACACAGTGAGCGACTGAGCTGTGCATTCGTCGGAGTCAACATCACATTAACATTATCAGAGCAAACAGACTCTAATGAGAGCGTCACATTAGGAAAAATCGACCTTCACCCTAGGTTTGGTCAAAATTGCCACCCCTCACGACTCGTAGATGTTCAGTCCAAGACACGTGCAGGCCGATCACGCGACCCACCTGTGTGGTGCCGGCGGTCCTCCTGCGAGCGGTCGTGGTGGACGACGAGACGGCCCCCTTGCCGAGGCTCCTCTCCTGGCTGCGGCAGTGAGGAAGCGGCTGGGCCTGCAGGGCTTTGAAGGACATGGAGCCCATGGGGTGGCAGGACACTGAGCGAGGACAAACAGGCATGGCTACGGTGATGCACCGGTGGGGGGGCGTGAGTTTCGGAGCGTTATGGGGGAAGGCGCGGACGAAGCGGGGGCGGTGCCAGGGGTTTGATGGGCAAGAGTTTGATAAACGGGAGCAAGGCGATAGGAAGGAGAGGAAGGAAGGAGAAGGATGTCACATAGAGACAAGGCAAGGGAGGACCAGGGGAGGAATGAAAAGAAGAGGTTTTGTTGAAACGGAGAAGAAGAGAAAGAAGGCATTAGCGCTGCTGGTAGGAAGCACAACTATGCTGTTAGGCTTTTAAAAGAAGCATTTAGTAAGACCAGGTTAGAGAGTGAGAAGAAGAGAGAATATGACAACTTGTAAAACCACAGCGCTGTAGGGAAAACGTTCCATTGACTCCGTCTAAGGGTTAAGGTTAGGAGGAGTGTAAAATCCAGTTACTACAAAGTACCAGCAGCAAGTATGAATGCAGAGAAATGCACCTTCACACAGTGTAGGTAATGTCTATTGTATAAAAGTGTGCAGAGTAGAAGAAGATGCGTTGTGTGCGGGTCAATTCGAGGAGTTGTTGTGTGCGAGTGTTACCCACACAAACTGTCTAAAGCCACTGTCGCTATGGTAACAGCGGTGGGAGAGAATGAATGGCATCAAGAGGAGAATACTTCTGAAACAGCTAACAGCTAATGTGTGTGTGTGTGTGTGTGTGTGTGTGTGTGTGTGAGAGAGCTCTGAGTGCCTTATACAGGCTGGTGTAGGACGTTTCAGACAGTATAATGCTTTAAGTCTCGCCAAATCTGATTAACATTCAAAACCGTTCGGTTCAAGATGCCAAAACAGAACGAGCGTAAATACTTCCAACACTAACAAATGCTTTCCCTCACTACGGACCATGAGGTCTGGGAGGGGGTCTCACATGCCGGATCCGTGTGTGTGTGTGTGTGTGTGTGTGTATTACCGGTTTGCTCTCCAGACAGACTCGTGGCACTGCGGCTCCGAGCCAAGTAGGAGTGCGTCGGCTGCTGCAGGCGGTTCACCACGTTGCTCTCCCATGGCGTCAACGGAAGACGGCGCAGGCCTGAGCGCACATAGAGATAAAACATGAGGCTTGATAACGACTTAAAGTATCAACCGCCCACTGATTAGCCTCAGCAATCAGTCAAAGCATATTATAAACTATGCATTTGCTGCTCATTTCTTCCTTCGCACTGCAGTGTAGGCGGGGGGCTTAAGTGAAGTTATATGCATGCACAGGCTGATACGTCACTCCTACACCTGCATGCACAAGTTTGTTAGTTGAGACGAGGCGGTAAACGACCTGGAGTGAAGCGCAGACCAAGAGCATTCATTTAAACAGCGGGGAACAAAGGACATCTGCATTTGAAGAAATGTTTTTAAATGTTTCAGGAAATAACTAATAACACAATTCAAGTTTATTTTTGTGCCATGCAGTCACTGATACTTCGGTAGGAGTGTTGGCATATTGTGCCTAATGTACAGCCTATTAAGCCAAAGTGGACAATTAAACGATTAATAGACCTCCACGATAATCTGATTTGCTACTTAAAGACAAAGGACAGTTCATCAGACAAAACATGCAGCACCGCTCGTCTTGGTAACGAAGCAGAGCACAAGGTAGCCGGTGTCAAGGTGAGGGGCAACGATACAGCTGGGCTGGAAACGGCGTAGAGGAACCAAAGTCTCTAATCTACACGTCATTGTAATCAAAACACGCGATGGTTTCAGAGTTCATAACATTTTTTGTTAATAATGTTTTCTCTAATTTTTGGTTGTTCATTTCTTCAGGGAAAAAACCCAGAAACCTTCCAACAAAAACAAAAGGATTATCCGACGGAGGATTAGAGAAAGGGGTCACGCTAAAACGAGAAGGGGGGGAACTTGATCACAGAAGCGTTAACGCATGCACATGTATAATACATGCCATGTGATAATCGCATTGGAAATATTGCACATCGTACTAGGAATATCCAGGTTTAATTTTGCAGGGCATTCCTCAACAGTTTCCAGCCCATGATCTTTTTGCTTCGCCACATACAAGTAGTTTGTAACATATAGTAGGGAGGCACCAGGCTGCAAAAGGTTCCCAGAAAACACCTGTGTTTTTGTGTTGGGTGGTCTTTCCCTGGTGGAGTCGGGGTTTGGACTGAGATTTACTAATGACAGGGGACGAGGTGGTTCTCATCTGTAAACCTGTCAGCGACAGAATACAGGGTCCAAGGTTTGAATAAAAATAACTACATTGGATCAATACGTTCCCTTATCTGTCCGTTGAATATGAACACACAGCGAGCAGCGTGTTAGATTAACCCGGCATGAAGGAAACAAGCAAAAACCGCTACCGAAAGACAAGGAAAACAAATATAATCCACCAGACTGATTACATTATAGGTTTCTTTAAAGCCTTGTGTGTAAAGAACGTCAAACCAAAAGGATAACTTAAGAGTACAAATATGGGAGTGCTGCTACTCTTTTCATCCAATTCTCCATTCAAAAAAGTGCACCGGTCACCACAACACAAGGCATAATTCACAAAGGCAGTAGATACTGTGATAAATCATCTTGGTTTTGTGTGTTCATGATCGTTTGCGTTACCTCGGTCCGGTGAGTGTAGGAGTGTAGCAGAGGAGTAGGACAGGCGCTTGGTAAAAACGGGGTCTGGGTGTTTGGATAAATTCATTGTGGAAACTGACCGCCTGTCGGCATCTGGAAACAAAGAAAAACACAATAAAAGCAAATTCATTAGAGTTTGAAAAGGTGGGAAGAAAGGGAGAGCTGAAGCTACCAATCTCTCTATGAGGGGTCATTCTAGTCTATTCTAGTTAACCAGGTTAGACATGAAAACAAAAACGTCGCTAAAAGGGAATAAATGTTAGAAAATGAATTAATGCTATATGGGTCATATGTCATCTAAATATGGAGCTATAATGGTTTGAATGCACAACACAGTGTCCTGTTTAAAAACAAGATATCTACATGCAAATAAACCAACAAGCTACTCAATGCTATTCCCAACGGCCTACTTTCACACTAACGCCAGTGCTGGAGCCAGCGGTCCAACACTGGCTGCCTAACTGACGCGGTGCTTTAATATTCACATTGGGAGGTCATTCCGTATCTGCGGTAGGGACTGAAAGCACCCTGCATGTGCTCCAGTCCAGCAAGGTCGAGTGGACAGAGGAAAGCCGACTCGACAAAACCTGGACCAGGAGGGGAGAGGACAATGGCAGAGACACAAAAGAGCAGAGGAGGTAAATCAGAGAGCGAGGGTAAGAGAGAGAGAGAGAGAGAGTGACAGAGGAAGTGAGAGAGCGTTTGAGAATGAGAGAGTGAGAGAGTGAGAGGGGGAGAGGGAGGGGCAGAGCAGCGTGTGAGTCAGCGGTAACAACAGAGGCCAGCGGATCTGCAGAGTTCAAATATACACATGGCAGAACAATACTGACACGCAGAGCCAGGCAGACATATGCACGCAAGAGACATCGGACATCATGGAGACGAGATTACAAGAGTGTCCAATGAACCGGGGAACACGGAGCACCCTTCGTGTTGCGGGTAGTGTGTGGTGGGAAAGTACCGGCCGGCGCGCTGGGAGTGTTTGTCTGCAGCGCCCCTCCCCAGGACCAGCGGACGGGCTTCGGCCTGGTTCTCTGGCTCCTCTCCAGCGTGCGACGGATCACCGCCTCATGACGAGTCTTTGGTCACGAAAACAATAACAACAACTTTTGATTAATACAAACAAACAAAAAACACACACCAACACCCTGACATGAAACTTGCTGCTGCACGAAGGAAGCAATGCTGCTGTGAATGGACACATGTGGCGTGTAATGTCTGAACTACAATTGTGTAGCGTGTTTTGGGCAACACAAGATGCACAAATACCTGGAAGAGACAATCTTCTCCCTTTTCAAAGCAGCAGTGAGACAGTATTTTAAGGCGAGGCCTTTCGTCTTATCTCATCTCACCTCACCTGTTCTTCTCACATGTCATCTCCAGCCACACCTTAAATGTTTCATTCTAAAGCGCTTTTAGACTTCTGAAATCAAAACTTGACAACATCCTTTAAGACACCCAAGGGGGACATTGCTGCCAGCTACGTGTTTCCCCACAGTGCCGTAGGAGTAACACGTTGATATTAGCTACGGTTAGGAGATAGCAGTGAAGTTCAAACTCCAGATAACTAAGGAGGGAAGGGCCAAGCAGCGGGTAAATGGTTCACTAGAAACTGAAACGCATCTGCCGGTTTACGTGGAGCATGTTGTGTTTCATGTTGCGGTGAAGCCGATTGTGATGCACCGGTGTGTACAGAACCACGAGCGTCACACCTGGTCTTCCTCCAGTTTCTGCCGTCGCTTCTCCTCCACGGCAGCCCGCTTTCTGTCCTCCTTCACCCTCTGCTCCTCCAGCCTCCTCCGCCTCTCCTCCACCTGCTTCTCATAGTGCAGCCTGGCTCGCTCCTCTCGCGCCTGCCACTGGGCCTCCTTGGCAGCTGCGGCACACACAAGCAAACACGGACTCAGTTCATAGTGATTTGATGCGCCGCGCAGTAGCGTGTGGCTGGTACAAACACGCACGCACACACACGCGCGCACGTGCTTGCAGTGGGACGGGTCAGCTGGAGATCATGTGACAAGGCTTTAGCTCTCAACACAAAGAAAATCCCCGTGCCCCTCAGCCGGGGCCGGAGGCATAAACACTGTACAACACCATGAAAACAAACACTTCAGCGGCATGAAACATACACAGCCACTGGCCCTCCGACCCATCTGTTGTGATGAGTCACTCACACACGCTTACAAAAATCTCATTCAAAACACAAGCTTGCGTTTTGAATGCGTGATGTAACATGGGTGCCACGGCAACAGGGGTGCCTGGCTTCAGCCCTCGACTTTATGTAACACCCAGAGAAACGGGTGCTTCACCACGGCACCGGCCGAGGTCAGTCAGGAATCGTAGCGGGGAAACACCGAAAAGAAGGGGAGGGCCGCACTAATGTGCAGTCCACACACACACACACACACACACACACACACACACACACACACACACACACACACACACACACACACACACACACACACACACACACACACACACACACACACACACACACACAGTGGAAGAATACACACCATTATGCTTCTCACGCTCCTCCCGGCGCTCACGGGCTAACCTCTGTCTCTCGTCGATCTTGTTGAAGAGCAACGAGTCTGCAACGCAAACAACTGTTAAACATCAGAATTGAGAAAAGCAACCCTTTGATATCTCTCCATAACGGACTCAACGTGTGAAAAGGTTTCCTTCGCAGGCCTGCAGGACTTACCCGTTTTGGGGGCAGCATTGTTACTGGGGCTGGTGCTGGTGGTTGTGTGAGTCGGGGTGGGGGTCAAGGTGGGAGTGTAGGTCTGCCCGGAGCCCGAGGAGCCGGGCCGGGTGCCTGAAGACGATCGGCCATCCTCTGATATGTACTGTGAGTAAGACGCTGGGGAGGGAGAGAAACCAGACAAGTGTCGATAACCAAACCTCAGCACGACAGACACCGAGAGGGAAAAGAAGAGACGGAGGACGATATAACGTTAGGTAGATCCACCAGAGGAAAGGTTTTGTACATCCGCATTTCTCCAAAACTGTGATAGAGTTACATTTATCTCCATCCATCATCAAATCAAAGACAGGTTGCTCTAGTGTTTCCATAACAAACCGATTTTAACACACGTCAGACATACAGAGCCCGGGAGTGACCAAGGACAAAAATACCTGCTTCACGTACATCCACGGCCGGTAACAACAAAGGTTTCCAGCGCAGTTAAATTGTCCAACAATGAATTCAACAGCAACCACCAAGTGAGCTTTATTTCCTCGACAATCTGCAAGCGCACAATAATCCCTTACAAATCAAGTGCTGTCAACACGTCCTTTATAAAGCTGTATCAAGACAATTGCCTAAGGTGGCGGCTGGCTTGAATCACACCGCCAGCATGCTTTAATTATAATTATTAGGTTGTGCTCACAAATTCATAAAAAAATGAGGGAACAAGTTAATTACCTGCAGTGACAGCTTGCGTCTTGGATGTTTCCCGCCTTGTGAGTCTGTGTGTGCGTGTGTTGTGCTATCATGGTAAAATGTATGACACGATTCGCCACAGAAGCGACTTTCAGTATTCGACCAGGTGTTTATATTTCTGTCACTGTGGCAGCAGCATGAGAAGAAGCAGTCAGCGAACCTTACCGCTGCGTAGTTGAGATCAAAATGAAGACAGGAGCATCTATTCGATGGGTTTAATTTTATACGGTTTGACAGGGAAGATTAATGAAAACATTTCCGTAAATGCGCCAAATTTATCTTCTTCTATAGTCTCAAACAGGACAGAAAGGAAACTAAATGAACAAAACTGTCTCCCTGCACACAGTCAGGCTCAGGGTGACTCAGCACTTCCAGGTCAGCCCCCCCGGCCACAGACACCAGGCTTAACTGGGCCTTTCATACACAAACAGATGAGCCTGTCCCAAATGTTCAAACAAACACATTCGAGATTAAAAAAAAAAGGTGGGACACTAAAAGAACTAAAAACTTGAATTAGCGTACCGACAGACTGGGTGAACACACTAATCTTACTCTTCTCCACGTGGTTTCTTTATCTCTTTGCTTCAACGACCTGTTCAGTGGGGTAATTAATTCATAATGCCGGTGAAAAGGCAAGTCTCAGATCTCCCTGGTGAAGAAGCTTTATTGTATTTTGCATTTAAAATAACTTAAAAATTGAAAGTGCAACTACTCATAATTCAATAATTCTACCATTCACAAAGGACACGCTGGACAGAGGTGTGAGGTCATCGCTGCAGAAGCATTGTATTTTGCAGTCTATGAGGCTTCCACGCAGGTGTGTGCCCAAGTATGAACAGGTCTACACTGCCTCTGGTGCAGCACTATTTAAACTAGTTACATAATGGCTATTGTGACAGGAAAGGCTGTGCACGGCCCGGTTACAGCAATGTCTAGTCAATGAATGTATTCCTCCCACCTGAGGTCATTCGCCTTTAGCAAATGATTAGCGGAGAACAATGTCCTGGAGGCAAATACTACACCATGCACCATGAGCAATGTCCACCCAGAGGACACATTAAATCGGGAAGACATGAAGGAGCTCTTTCTATTTGAGGAAGTTAACTTCTAGCGACTGCGTGAGTGGGACGCTACACAATAAGCCAGTGGTGACAACCTCAGAGAAACTGTGCGTACACATGATTAACGGGGAGGAAAAGAAATGACGGGTCTTTATTAAAACACAATCCAGTACAGTAGGTCTGCATGGCTCTTACCATCTCTTAATTTGACTAAAATGTCCACTGGTGTGTTAGCACTGGCAAACGTGGCCTTCTTTGATGGAGCAGTACACAATACACACCAATGTGAGTCAATCTAAAACACTGTCAGGCTGGGCCCTTCTTTGACAAGTAATAAATGTCATTGGATGTGGTTTTGCATAGTTTACCAGTCAGAGCCAAATAAACAAATGTAAAACTATGAAATGGGATCATCCTTAGAGGTCCGGCGAGGTCAACGTTGCAGGGCAGCACAGAGTTTCAACTTAAAACACATATTTTTAAGTGGTTGACTGGAAAAAAATAATGGTCATATATATATCTATATATAGATCTATATTAGACATGAGCGCTGTGAATGCAAGCCACACATTCCAAATGAATCGCTTACATAACCGGACATTTCTACACTTCTCACTCATCTTCATTCACGTCCTACTGTTTTTTTTTTGCAGCAAAGGCAAAATGGCGTATTTATGACCAAACAACGCAGTAGTTCATTGTCTCGGATTACACCGTGCCACGCAGTGCTCAGCTCAATATGCTTCACTTATTTACGGTGCAGTTTGATTCCGTCTGCTGCCTCTCCCAGCCTCGGTCCTCTGTTGCTGAGGTCACTAAAACGAACCTCATTAGCAGAAAGAACAACTGCTTGCATGCACCAGGCAGTAAACCCCCCCCTGAACTTCTTCTCGCTGCTGGAGGACCGAGTCATAACAAAACTGTCCCGTTGCTGACAGAACTCGGCGTACTCGTGTTCATTCTCAGCCTGCGCCCATTTGTCAGTGGAGCACAAGTCCATGACGTTACCTGGAGTTTGGTGCATGATGCCAGGATGTGACCTGCTGAAGCCCAAGCTAGAGCCACAGTCCTACAAGTCAGACCGGAGGGCCGGGAACAACGTTCCTGCTTCCTGTAAACATCCCACACAGTGGAAGATAAGCTCCGATCCGAAGTCCATGGCGCGGCGAGTAGGTCGAAGGAAAAAGCAAAAAGAAGAAATTCCCAATAACTGAAAAGGGGACCAGGCAAAATATTATTTTTTCAAAATGAAAAAGAGAAAGCAGGGAGAGAGAATGAGAGAGAGGGGTCAGCTCTGGTCAGCGTGACTGTGATCGAGAGCCGGCTTTGACCGCGAGACAGGTTGTGACTGTCCAACCCCCGTCCTTTTGTCCATGTGTGCAAAAGAGACAGAGAGTGAGACATAGGGAGAGTGTGACTGTTTAATCTGCCCCACCCTCACTCAGTGCTGGAGTGTGTGTGTGTGTGTGTGTGTGTAACTCTCCCCACCCCCAATCTATCTGCATCGGCAGCCGGATTAAACGGTCACAGATAGCGATTAATGTTGGGCTGAGCGGGCCAGCGGGTGGCAGGCGAGCACGCTGTGTGCCTCGAGCCTCCCCTGCAACCTGAGAGGATTAGCCCGCTGCTAACGCTAAGCTAAACGCTAAGCTCCAGCCGACACAGAGGCAAAAAAGGGGGCAAGACACCCCCCCTCTCCCCACCGCCCCCCAGGACAGGCCATCGGGCCTTTGGACACCAGGTGCCTTCAGAGGTTTGCTATGCATCCGCTGCACGTGGCAGGTACAGGTTTCCGCTCAGATGACAGGAAAGATGCAGTGATATGCTGTTGGTGTTTTCATTTTGTGGTTTCTTATTCTGCGATTGTTGTGATGTTATCACAAACTTTTCATTGGTGGATTCGTTTCCAGATGAAATGGGACGACCATGACATGTCATTAAGAATCACAAAAAAAAAAAAAAAAAAGAAGACACTCAACATACCAAAACACACGTCAACCAACGTCCATCAAAACTCCATCTGCACAAACCTCCATAACACATCAACAGTTTGTATTGTTCATTTTTATGTAGGAGTACTAAAGGCTGCCCTATTGATAACTTAAAGGTCGGCTAAGCTTGGTCTTGCATGTCTTGATGAGTGAAGGCATGCGTAAATGTATGCTGACTTTTTGTACAAGCATAATAGCACTGGGCATATTTGAAAAGATCATATCAGAGCAGGTCTGTCATTGCACAATACAGAAAATACTCAAACTACTTGACAGTTACCGGACTTCACTTTGAGATTGTGCTCGCTGCACAATACTCTCTCGTCTCCTCTGCTCTATTATTTATGGTTTAAGTAGGATGCACACGCTTTCCCCAAGAGAACAGTAAAAGCCTCGGTAGGAGAATCATGTCTCACTAAAAGGAAATGCAATCAACTTACTGTGTGTGCGGGTTGTTTGTTTTATCCCATGTAGCCGTTACAAAGACAACCACTTTAATTCTGAGGATAATCACAATGGTGCATCTGCACACCTTTACAGCACTGCTGACTTAACCTTGTTTCCACGTTATTGGTTTCAAGGGTTGTATTGTGGTGCAGAATCAGTCTGTAATGCAACAATACCCATAAACACACTGGCCATAGCCTCTTTCGCTTTAGTTCACTACCAAAAATGGATTTCCTAAAACCAACATTTCCTGGAAATACGACACAACAGGTCTGTCAACAGTGACTGAAAACCTACGTAAGAAAATTAACAGCAAAGCAAATCTTCCGCGGTCACACGATTGAAGCTCTGGACTAAAGCCAGAGAGGAGAAGTTCCCTAACAAGTTTGCAGGCTCACAGACGCACGCTGTTCTGACTGATGCATTACAATGTACACGTATGAAGTAGACTGCGCTGTCACTCCCACCTGCTGCCCTTGTGTGGACTCACTATTGCCATGTCAGCTGCTTTGCACACACACACACACACACACACACACACAGACACACACACACACACACACACATAGACACACACAAAGACACACACACAAAAGCCCACACACACAAATCTCTCTGCTGAGAATAATAGGGGGGGAGGACTTTTCGTCTACGTGGTTAACCACACAAACACACTTATCAAATACACTTGCTTTATACACTGAATTGAATTAAGCTCACGCTGTATAAAGTACCACAGCCTGTACGATCCATTACGTTGGCTACTTGAAACCCCCGTCAGTTTCCCTCCGTACCTCTTGTCTTCCTCCTGCAAGCATCTCTCCGTCTCTGTCCTTCCTCTTCCTCGGTGATGGTGAAAAGTGCCGGGATGGCGGAGCGGCTGCCTCCCTGCCTCAGCTTCCACTTGCCCCGCGAGCACCCACCTCCTCCTCCTCCTCCTCCTCCTTTATCTCGCCCTTTACTATCTGGCATCGCTTGCCCTGTTGCTAACCCTCGAGCCCCTGGCTACCTCGCTGTGCCCCTGCCCATCCCACCCTGCAGTGGGGGAGGGAGGCAGGCTGGTGCTGGACGGGGGGGGGGGGGGGGGGGGGGCCCCCCTAAAAAGGCTTTTTTGGGGGAAAAAGTAAAAGGGTAAAAACTACCGGTAAAAGTTAATTCCCCTGGAAGGGCATTGGTGCTTTTGGCCCGAAACAACGAGGGAGACAGAAGAGAAGAAATGAAGAAACGTGACGGGTGAGAGAAAAACGCAGACGGTTCAAGAAGGTTTAACGGACAAAGTTTGGTGAGATGATGAGGGAGAGCAGGAAAGAGAGACAAACAGCTGCCTACTGTGCCAAACAGAGAGACGGAGCGTGCAGCAGAGTCCGAGGATGGCTTAGAAAAGAAGACTTAATCCACAAGACCGGCTCGGTCGGAAGCTGGAAAGATTGCAATGCCCTCGACTCCTCAAGAGATGCTGCTGCTGTCACTACTCTTACTGCCGCCCCCTTGACTCTCTTGCTGGGCCTTTTCTGCAAAATGCAAACTTGTCAGAGGAATCACATCACATAGGTGAACACACACACGCACGCACACACACACACACACACAGGTAACAGAGTGCAGCAGGGCCTTTAAAATATTCAGTGCAAATCCAGCAGTGGAAGGTGAGCCGGTACCGGTAAAGAGTTTCCCTGACAACCACCGCACATGGACCAACGATGCAGTGGTAGAGTGGAAGCGAGAGAGCAGTGCACACTTTACACTCACAACTACGGATGCACGTCTATGCACACACACCAAAGCAAATTATGCAGTGCTGGAGCGGCCTCTGTGGAAGGGGTGTGCTCATAGAGCACATGGTATGTGACCCCGCCCCGTTCTCAACCTTAAAGCGCCATCAACCATTCGACATTTCGCAGTACAGTAAATATGCAAATCTTAGCTGGCTCGTTTCTGGAACAGATATACACAGAAGTAGGAATGTGCAGATCAAATGAAATATCTGAGCAGCAATAACATAGTATGTGGTTTCACTTTCATTCCATACACTGTCACTGATAATATTCTGGAAATTAAAGACGGCAAAGAGAAGATTTGCTGAGCATTTGGACGCTTGCACACACCCACCGTATAGCAGGTGCTGTGAAAGGGAGGGATGAATAAAAGGGCCATTGATAAAACATATTGCAGACCACTAACAGTGCAAACATCAGTCTAAGCATCATTGTGTCCTGTACTTACACAGGCTGAGCCCACATCCACCAAGGAAAATAGACACACACACACACACACACACACATCCACACAGATTAAAGCAACCAGACGGCTTGAAATCCTCCTCAAAAATACTGTGCAGAGCAACAAAACGATTAGACACGAGCACTGACACCCGTAGAGGCAGAGTGCAATTAAGTCCCGCCCACTTTTCACTGCTCTCCATTGACTTTATACTGTGGCTCCTGCCTTCTTGGCCGTTTCCTCTGCCAGCAAAAACACTGAAAAATGCAGGGAGGTGCACGGTAATTAACCCAGAACCAAGGTCTCATTAGTGGACGGCCCAATAAACTACAAATAATACATGAGGCATCAGCAGGAACAATGAGAGCTCCGGGCAATCCTGACAGGGTGCCAAAAGTAGGTGGAGAAAGAATGCTTTGACAGTACGCAATGTTACTATTGTAGTTACCTTAGCTGACCATATCTGCTCGCTAACTACCAACTTCCATGATCATCTTAGCCATAGTAGACATGCGGTGCTACAATCATAAAACTTGAAGATATCTAATGCATTTTGTTACGTTTCCAACCTTGGTTCCAGTGAGCGTACTTTTTGGAGTATCATTTGTTGCTCCCTTGGCCTTAATTAAATGACTCATTCAGAGTAGAGTATTTAGCAGACATACGGTTTAACATCTACGGCGAGCCTCTACAGTATCATATAAAGACATTCACTCGCTGCCTCATCGCCTTAGGGTGCACACTGCTGTGCAACTGCACATTCATGAGAAAGCAATCTGATCTTTGTCCCTGCAGGATACAGTAACGCGGTAATCCTACCCTGAGACATGAACCGGAGAGGCTCAGGCACACACCCTTCTCACACCTATTGAGTGTGTCTACAAGAGAAACACTGACACGGAAATTGATCAAATATTTTGACTGTTGTATGAAGAGGGATACGTTCATCAATGGATTTAATTGAAAGAGTAACAGCGAATTTAGCTGATATGCTTGTCAAGAAAAGGTATTTTTTCTTCCATGTGAGGCATCTAAACTGTTACAAGTTAAATACATGACCTGTTGATTCCCTTTACATGTGACATGTTAATGTTAATGTCACATATAAAGGGCTTAATTTCATGTGGTGACCACATTCTCTTATTAGACAGATAAAGCTAAAAGCTTTATATATTTTGTTTACTGTTTTCACTACACGGGGGTCCCTCAGTGACATGAGGTGTGAGACAAAAAAAAGAATAAGAATTTTTGCAAATGTGGCAGAAAGCAGAAAAAAAAATCAATTTATCAGGTGATAAAGAAAACAATTGAAACTGGTCCTAGAAAAAAAAGAAAAAATATAAAATATATAAGCGGTAACACAGCGGATAATCACATAGGTCCCGACATCACTGTTTTGGTGTAAGGGGGTCAAACAGTTCACAGCATCATGGGAATATTATATAAATAATGCTTCTAAAAAGGAATCACTGTGTTGTAGAAAATGAGAGTTTGCAAGACAAAGGGGGACAAAGCTATGGTGATGTTAATGCGTTTGGTCTTTTGTTGGCATCAGTTGTCGATAGAAGCTGCGCGCTCTTTGGTGGTTCTCCGATTAAACAGTTCGAAGCCAAGAAAGAGAATGGGGAGGTTTAAAAATGTGACATGGTAAGCTCATTATAGCGTGCCGTGAAGTCAAAGCGAGGAACAACCGAGACGTTAGGGCTTATCCCCGATTCCTCGATAGGTGTTGTCGACCCAACGACACACCCACCCAACACACAACATGTGGGTTGCTAATGGATGGAGATGGACTCTTGTGCGACAGTCTTGTACTTACCAAGTCTGTATTTCTGCCCTCTGTGTGACAATTTTTGTATAAATGAATCTTCCCCCACATCTCAACATCTTCAACGTGGTCAAGACTGCACGCACATCATGCCTCTACAACGTCAGGCCGCTTTTCTCGCTTCAACTACGCACTTATTTGACAGAGATTACACACAGTCTTAATCTTTCATCTGAGACTTTAATCCAGCCTGTTTTTAAATAGTTGAGCCACTGAAGTAAATCACATGGTATTGGCTATAGCTCATATAAACTTTCTAACTTTCATTTATTATTTCCAGGGTTAAACTTCTTCTAAACGTTAAACATCTTTTTAGATGTCACTGATTTCAACCACTTCAATATAAAATAAGTCTTCCAAAACCATAAATTGAGCTTCAAAACAACAAAAGTCTGAAATCTAAAAGTACAACTGTGCAGACTCAAACCCCGGCCAAAGATTAGAGAGCATGTAATGGCGGCGCTTTAAGTGTCTGTGAGATTATTTACTGCCAACTGGACACCTAACACTGCTTTATGGGCCTCCAGCATGATCAGTAATCCAGGAAACACTGCTCAGGTACAACAGGTATTCTGCGGCTAATTGAAAATACCTGTTGTGCGTCATTGCGCTTATAAAGGGTTCGCGTATAAAAACAGTATTGAAGCAGTATTGAATCAGACTAAAAAGGATTTACCCCCAAGTATTGTTCGGCCATTGCTCTGATGAATTGAACTGGATGTTATTATTGGATTGACAGCAGGTCACACGCTGCGAAGCACAACCATTTAGTTTTCAGATTTCTATATAACTTAATTTATAATTTATTTAACTATGCAGAGTAAATCCTGCTCTGCATAACACAAACGCACTGCACCGCAGCTATAGATGGTAGAATATTTTTTAATTATTAAACACGACAACCCACGTTATGGACAAATGTTTGACAAAAACGGCCGGAAAACAAAGAAGAAGCGTTGCTGTAAGGAAACAGGCGTTCCGTCTTCTCAAGAAGCTCATTAAATTCACCTGTCGCGTCAACTGAAGCCGCATTACGACGACAGAAATGTCACCAACAGGTGTCCGTCCGCCGGCTCTAACGCGTCCTTCAGCGACGAACAGGCGAATCCGTAAGTGAAGCGTTTTTAAAAGCACGAGCAGGGTCTTTAAAGACCACGTTAAGTAAAAACCGGTTTGACGGTTAATCCGGTTCCCGTGACCGACCGGGAGCCGCTTCTTCTGTAGTCCAGGGCGTCAGCGTTCAAACGTCGACCAAACTCACCTGAAGTTTCCCCCCCCCCCCTCCCCCTTTATCTCAGCCGCGCGAGGTGCTTCAAATGCCAACTCGTCCTTCTTATGAAAACAACAAAAACAAGCTTCAGGGGGGAGACGCGGAAAAAAACAACTTTTCGGCCCGTCGGAACTCACCTTGGGACTCGGGAGGAGACGCGTCGCTGCCATCCTGCTCCGCCATTTCTCCTGACGTCAGCTGAGCGGGATCAGCGCGAGGATGCCGAGTCGGGCCAGGTCCCCTCCCACGGACAGGTGGGGGGACAAGGGGTCACACCTAATAGCGCAATACGCCTCTGCTAATGTGTTCTCCCACGTCACCGGGACGGGGGGGAAAAAACAAAAACTATTTGCCATCGCACGTTTGCTTTAACGCACCTTTTATGCGCTAATGTGGCCTCACGCGGATCATTTGTATTAGTATTATTGGCCGAGCGATTGAACATTTAGTCAATCTATGTCAATCTAAAAAAAAAGGATATTTGTAGGTCCACTTGGTTGAAAACAGACTGCTTGATAAACTTGAGATAGTTCATCAGGTCTGTGTAAAGTGTCATGCTGACATCTAGTGTCCGTGTCGGTAGAACAGAATGTCTCACCATTGTCAGGGATCTCGTGACCTATATTTTAGTGTCTGTTCAAGTTTAGCAAAGTGGTCACAAACGGGATGGGGAAGTAGAACGTTAATAGCATTAGCCTTGGTGTCTTAAACGGCAAATCTTGACAGCAATTGTCTTCCTAAGCATATTTAGATGCATGTTTTTAAATGAGATTACATATGAGACAGAACATCAAGACATCAAACTAAGTGGTCCTTATCTATATTCACATTTTGAGACCACCACAGCGCATGTTCACCACAAAATACAATTGCTGTCAACGTAACAGTAAAGCTGTACTCTCTCTTATTCCCTTCACTTGCTTTCAATAAGTAAGATTAACATAAGATTAACATTCTAAACTGGGCTTTTCTGATTGTGATCTATCGGATCAATCTTCCAGGAAAATTACATTCTGTATGTAACAACGGTACGAATAGGCCCGTCCTGCCAGGGCCTCTGTTCAATCTGTTGCTACTAATATACACGACCAGCAGAGGGAGCTCTCGTCTTAAATAAACAATGCTTGACTCATCAAAACTACACTCAAGCCTCTAAGCTCCACTGCCTTTACAATTGTGTTGCGTTTATACATCAATAAGATGTTACAATAACAAGATGAAGCTAATGGCAGAGATATTAAAATGAATGTTGTCTAATATTCGGAATATATATTTATATATGCATGGATCCATTTTTTTTTAAATCCATTATGTCACATTTCTACAGGTTTATCAATTCACCAAATGTCAAAATCGGTCATCAATTGACAACACATTGCATGGAAAATGCGTAAAATATTACACTTTGACAGTCGCCTCTTAACAAAGAAGCCTTTCAATCCGACAAAATGACATTGGAGACTGAAATGAACCAGACCACTATTGTTTCAACGAACCCACTGATATTTGATCAAGGATTCACCGTTCCCGGCTTGATGTATGCTAATCTCCGCTCACATCGCTGCCAGAATCAGCAGGCTTTCCCCCCTTCCCCCCACTTCAATCCCCAATAAAATGACTACTGGTTGGTGCAGGCACAGGCGATACCATGGCAACCAGCTGTTTGTCAATTCCTCCGTTGGTGTGCGAGTCAAACACACACTTTTGGCCACCTCGGTACCTGACGAGGGCAGAAAAGGACAGGGTGGGAGAATGATTGCAAACAGGGAATTTCAGCTTGTTTACGGTCATAATTACTTACTAACTTGAACCGTTGCCCTTTATTTGTCTATTTCAGACATAAACCCCTGCAGACAAAGCTACTCCCCCCCTCCCTCCCGGCTCCTCTTTAGTGTCTCTTTTTCTGTCTCCAAAGACAGGAGTGGCTAGTACAGGGTTCAGTGAGTGCACAGTGGTTGGGCCTGACGTGGCGTTCAATCTGCAGGACGAAAGTCACCACAAAACAGATTTTGTGTGTTTGCTTGACCTGAATGTGCGCAGGATTCCAAGGGAAAGGGACGTTGCTACTTTGGGATGCTGATCCTCTGGTTGATTAATGCTGCTCGCCCACGTGGAAGATATAAGCTAAGGGTGTCAGTGGGCTGCCGAGCACTAAGCAGATCGAGGAAACGTTTTTTTTTTTTCCAGGACAAGTGGCCTCTTTGCTCCTCGCTGATTTATTTGGATTAACTTGTGTGTGTGGGCCAGCAAACATCAGTGCTGAGATCAGATATGTTTCTGCATGTCTTTATCTCTTGGGATATGTGGCATTTAAGCCCCCTAAAATCCTTTCTATAACACTTATGTATCCATGTTCAACTACGCTACGGCCAAAGTTCAAATCTGGGGAAAACGAAATTTAAGGTTTAATTCAACGGTTTAAGAAGTCACACCAATCTGCTTCGTAAAGAGTGTGTATTTGTGGTTCGATTGGATGGGATTAGATAAAAGCTTTCTTAAAGCCTGATTGCTGTATGGAAGAATATCACCTTTTTTTTAAATTAAAACCAAACACTCTTTAAACCAGCGCGACCACCACCAAAAAAACCTAGACAGACAAATCTTTATTTGTATTTAAAGTAGTGATTATGAAGTGATAATTGAAGAGGCAATGAGGTAAACAATGCATACGATGCAAAAAATGTATTTCAAACCAGCTTGCAGAGACATGCCGCTATGTTGGCAATTAGTAAACACACCGCCAACAAAATAAAAGCAAACAGATGTGATAACACTAGCGACGGATATTGGATTATGAATACATTTTCACGACTCTTATAATCTTTTTTTTTTTATCTCAAATTATTTATTATTATTATCTAATTTTTCATCCATTCAGTTGAATGATGATCTCATCATGGTGATTTCACACATACATGCAATAAATTATAAAGCATTATGTTGCTATGCAGGTTCAGCTGCTGTCATCGAGTAGCCCACGTATACTGCCTTTTCACAGCAGTATCAATGCTGCCTTTTCACAGCAGACAAAAGCAGATGAACTATTTATTGTTATTGCCGTTATTGCTTATTCACTCCAGTGTTTTCTATTTGGTCACTTAGACTACACCTGCCTCTTCGTCTCTTTCATTATGTCTGCCTCTGTCGCCCTCGTCTCTTTATCCTTGTATTACCTTTCATGCAGCAGACAGACAGGACAACGTCTCCATAGAAACGCGCAACTTTTGTATTTTTTTTAAACATCACTTTTCATTTTGTGATCGCATTGAGGAAACAAATTTAACCCGCAAATTGCCGCATTCAGGATGCTTTAACTTGTCTTATTTTTTTCTTTGAGGAAATAATAGTTGAGAATCAAATAGGACCAATGTAATGGCCTGAGCATGCAGTCATGTTGGGATAATAGCCTCCTTAATTATTGCCTCTACATAATTCACTAGAAACAGATGGCATAATAGAGAATGATCTGAACTCACCCCCTGCAGATAAATAGATCCCCCCCCATGTTGTCCAAATAGACTTGCCCTGCCTATGTGTGTGCGTGTGTGTGTGTGTGCCCTTGAGCGCGCACACACACACACACACACACACACACACACACACACTCAGCTGCTGCACGGTGCATGCTGTATCGAGGTATGAGACCTTTTACATCGGACTAATCTAATCCCACTGCACAGAGAGGGCCAATCACAAGAAAGAAAACAACCCTCAAAAACAAGCAGTTCCTACAGGCCAGCAGACATATGGCTACGTGAACCAAGTAAATAGTGCTATTAATTCTAAGTCCCTGCCATTAATCCCTCACGAGGGTCAGAGTGCTATTGTCTGCACTGCAGGATTTGTGACAGCAGGATTTTATCTTATTCCAGGCATATATTGTGTGGTTTGGATCGCCATCCTACCTCTGTAAGCATCCATGATTGCTATACTACTTCTACTCCATTTCACAGTACCATAATGTGTTTTTGACTCTAATTTAAAAATGCTACTTTTATTTAATTTGTATGACCCATCATCCATGTTGGTGATGATGGACGATCTGCTGTGTGTATTCGCAGCAGTTGTAGTCAAAGTAGTGATGGTAAAGTCAAGGTTGGCAACCAAGTCAGTGTGTTCATGTGCCCACCGACATCTTTTTTATGATTAAAAAAAGATTAAGAGTGCTTGAAAATTGAATGGGCTCAGTGTAGTGAAATTAAATGGATTTCCCACAAGGTGCACTGCAGGAATTTACACACACATACACACACACAAGCATGCAGCGTAAGTGGAACACGTGCATGCGTGTTATATAGTATTTCTACTGAGTTGAGAAAGGAGGTTATTCCCAGGGATTCGGTATACTCAAATATTCAGTAGATGTCAAAGACACACAATCCTGCTGGAAAATTGCTCTATTTGACGTGAACTCGTCTGGCCCACTTTGCGAAGCCGTCTCTTTGTCTCTCGTAAACGCACCCGTCGTCCTGCCTCACATGGAGGTCACTCTCTACCGTCCCGGTAAGGCGGGAGTTGTGGTGGCGCAGATCAAGTGTGCGAGGTGAACAGAAGAATCTCACCCCCACCCACCCCCCTCCCCCACCCCCCACACACACACACACACACACACACACACACTTCTCTTTCTCTCTGTCTGGTTTGATAAGTGATGCTGTACTACAGGCTGAACTGCTCGGCATGTGAATGAATTAGCAGAACCACAACGGCGTGACACATCGGCCCCGGCGTTTGTCTGATGCTGCAGTTGGCTTCCACAGCGGTGGAGAAGAGATGGGATCCATCTTCCAGCAGAAGGGAACTGGCGGGGAGGGGGGGGGGGGGGTCCTGCTGGTGTCAAGCCTCTCTCATCTGTCTCTGTGCCGCCCGGGTCATGTTCAGTGTCTGCCTGTCTTTTTTCTCTCCTCAATCCGTCCTCCCCCCTACTCTCTTTCTGTCCTTCTGAGCTATCGGCGTGATAGATCACATCATCCACAAGGGAAGAAAATGAAGAAGAAGGGAGGAGGAGGTGGGCGGGGGGGCAGCAATGTCAAGAGAGAGAATGACAAAATGAGGAGGGGGATGGGAAGGCATGAAATGTACAGTAAGGATCTCTTGGCTATTTAACATTAGCATATGCGCGGTGTTTTTTCTTTTTTGCATTCTTTGAAAAACGTACTCTGGCCGTGTAACCGTAACAGCTCGTGTAAATCGCCCTTCCTCACCCTTGCCAATTGAATTTCATACATCCACACAATTCGCCCTCCTTCTGACAAACAACTGTCTCCGTTCACATCAGTTTTAATGGCCCCGGAACGGCATGACCGACAGGGACTCGAGGACTCTGCTGGTGTGAGATCTGCTGGTGTGCAGCCAGCTGACTGAGCCGTCGTTGGGGGGGATGCTCCCGTCCTCAGAGATTCTCCTCACATTCACCTTGCAGTCCCAATTATTCAAGGCAGGGCGCACGAGTGCTCCCTGCCAGCCAGACCCAGCTGTGAAAAGTGGGTCATGGAATTTAAAGGCACACGCAGCCTTGTTGCACCGCACCGCTTGGGCTTTTCTGTCCCGCGCCCAACACGCAGTGAGCGTGTGCAATTCTGCCTCCTGCCTTGACGTCCACGAGGCGGTTTGGGAATGTATGTCAGTGAATCACAAGACATTCATGTTCTCTGCGGGAATGAAAAAAAAAAAGAGTCTGGCACGTTCACCAAGTGTGTCTCTTCCTGTCTGTCTCTGTCTCTTAAATGCCCTATATTCCTATGATTAAAATGCATGAGCTTGGATTTTCAGGGCGATGGACTTGTTCTCTCAGCAATTTCTACCTAGCAACAGTGTACAGTAGGCCATATGTGGCTAGACATGCAGCAGAGAAAGGCTACTCATGCGCACATTGAGCAATAATGTCATACCCTGATGAGCTCTTTACAGAGCCAGACAGGGTTGTCCCACTAAACTACTCTCAGAAGGGAAGCATTTGGCAACCACAAAGGCCTAATACGGCCCTCGTGCATGGAACACAGACACGCCAAAGCACACACGTAGGCCAAGGACCACGCGCACGCACAGCGGCTGGTTAGCGCAGCTCAGCACTTATTTATGTTTATAGGCATTCGCTTTTTGATTGTGTTCATTAGTGTGATTTTGGTACCTTTTGAACAGAGCCTGGCTAGGTGTTTCTCCCTGTTTGCAGTTATTATGCTAAGCTAAGCTAGCCTGTTTTATATTTACCCGACAGGCATGAGAGTGTTCTTTGTCAAACAAATAAAATAAAACCACACAGGGAAGGCATCTATTTAACAGTACACAGTCGTTGCAGTTTTATTATAAGCAAAAACAAACCACACACCACATTACATTTTAAAAACAGGAACGCCTATTGTGGATGTACAGAAAAACAAAACGCTGCTGCCAAACTAAATATTTTAGTCTTAATAATGCTAATGAAGGTATAAAAAGGAAAGTGTTTTATTTTGTGAAATAAAAAGCTTTGGGCCAACAAAATGTTCCCTTTAACATGCGACTTTAAAAAGACATGCAAACATAAAGCTTTCTAGTATGGACACTTTCAGAATCCTCTCCACGTGAGACTCCGTCAATGATCAAATATCAGCCTGAACACTTTCTTGACAGAGAACATCCTTCGATCTTTCTTTCCAATTCCCTGATCCAGAAAACATCATCGTTTTCAACCAAATCAACCAGGAAATGCAAGGAGGACTAAACGCGACCCATTTCTCTGGCATCGAGTTTGTGTTTATGTGTAATATCTTTTTTATAAAATAAACGGTTGGGAAGAACATCAAAAACAGCACCATTTAAAAATGTTTCCTGGATTCTCTCCGACGTGACCGTCATGTTTTTTTTTTCCACACAAAAGGTTCTACAAAGTCAGACATGGTAGCTAAGTCAAAAAAGTATTTTTTGCTTGGTTATAAGTTCATAATATCTATACTCTTCATCAGTGTTTTTTTTCTTTTTTATATCTCTGTTGTTAGCATGCAAGACAGGTGGTTTGCAAGTGTTAAAATGAAACGTTGCCCTGCTTTTGTCTTTGGCAGCTGAGGATATTTTCGAATGGCAGATCGGTCGGAGTCACGAGTGTACCAGAGCTTACAGGTTTTAGAGTGTGTTGGTGCACATAGACCACAATAAACGATGAAATCCACCCCTTTAACCTCAGATTATGCCATTACAAAATATCACCTGCGACCAGGAAAAGTTTTCAGCATCTTAGCTTTTGAATGAATTTGACAAACAATCTCTGCTGGAAATGCCCCGTCACAATAATGCCGCCATGACGTATGACATTTGAGATGCAATACTCCTTGTTTTGGACCGGTTTTAAGCTTTCAAGGTTTCAAGTTGTCCTCAGATTTCTGACTCAACTATATCTGCCTGTAAGCCCGTCAGTGGTTAAGGTTCAACTGATCCTGAATGTCCGTTCAAAGGCAAGCAGAGTGATGTGAGAAACAGACGCACGGGGCCTTGGGCCCAAACCTAAACCGACAACTGATATGTATCCTGATGAGGGAGAACAACGGGCAACACCGCTGCCAATCATACAGGTCTCGTAGCCTCACGCGGAGAACTGCAACACCCATCATGCTTCCCTGTGGTGAAAAGTGGGTGAAACGCAACAAAACAAAAAAAAATCACAATTTTAGCCACACCTGCTAAAATATCCCCACTCAGAGTTTACACGTCACAAAAGGACAGAATTGATGTATTAACGCCTTTGTGCTTAAACTAAAAAGTACAGAGCTCCCTTACACCCGCGGGGTCTGCCGGCGTAGGGATGAGCAGGGCGACTTTAAGGTACGACAAAAAAAACGCTGAAGACCACATTTCAATCACATTAACAATAAATGGCGACATAGAGTACATTTTTGAAAGAAGTAACAGCAAAACACCTCAGTAAAAAAAAAAAAAAAAAAAAATGACAAGGTATTGAAGCACTGTGCTTACGTGGTGCTACGGCTAATTTCACACTTACTGCGGTACAGACATTTTTTAACCACCTCCTTTTTTTTGTCTGCGTTTTCTTCTGTATGGCTGTTTGGATCGCAGCTTGTCAGCTGCGGCATGGCTCGGGGGATGCGGCGTTAGGTGGCGTTCACGCGGCTCGTTTCTAGGGCGTGACATTTTATTGTGGCTGTTTGCTGTTCAATTAACCGCCATCGGCTGTTTTCTCTCCCGGTACCTTTCAACAGTCAAATACAATACACTCTACGTGATTGGGAAACAAGTGACTAGTGCTATACGCGTTTGTGGTGCCTGTTTGCAGGTTCGCTAATGCTGTTTACATAAGTTATTGTTACTGCGCGATGGCGGTCCATGTCGAATGGGCTAAGTAGGTGGAGCTGAGATGCGGTGGTGTATGACTGATTGATGGTCGACATCACGGGCCATTATAGGCCCTTCTTAGTTGGCGCGCTGAGTTTTCTCATTCCCCTTATCCTGCCCAGCAACTCACGGACGAAGACCTGCAAGGAAGAGAGAAGAAACATCAGCGAGGACGGAAGAGAACCTGCATCTTGGGATTAGGCCGGAGGTACACGACAAATGTTGGAATGTCATCCCACTTATATTAGGGGGTGACTATGCGCGTGACCCAGTTACTGATGCCTCCCCCTGTTCTCTCCCCCCTGCATCTTTCCTCTTCCTCCCTCCCCTAAGCTCTAGTCTGTCTTTCTGCCTGTCGCTGTCTTTTCATATATTCATCTGCATCCCTCTGCTCCCTTCTCTCTGTAATACCTTTTATCTCTCACTTCATCTCCTGTTATTTTCCCAGTGTACCTTTTTTTTTCTTGTCCCTCCCTTCATGGCTTTCTTTCATCCTCCCTCCATCACTCCGTGCTTTTGCTTTTCTACGTTGGTTCTCTCTTTTACTGTTCTCCCCAATGGATGCCTTCTCTGTGGGATTGTGTGCAAAATGACTGTGCTACTCCATTCTCTAGGGATTAAAGTGTGTGTGTGTGTGTGTGTGTGTGTGTGTGTGTGACACGTGTCAACGGCTGTCAACCTGGCTGAACCATTGTGTAGCTTTGGGCACCAATGACCTTGAAGTGAATGTCATTGAGTCCAGGCTGTGCAGGTAATGTAATCACCAAAATAGCTTAAGTCCACCTCACCACTAATACCACACACTAACGAATCGACACTGCAGATTGACAGGTGAGGGTCAATAACGTCAAACTACGCACACAAGCTGCCCGGTCGATTACGATGAGGGATTCATTGTTCGACCGACACACAAAACACACTCACCTCTGTTGGTTTGTAGCAGTCTGTTAATGATTCCTGTTTAAAGAGCAGAAATGGAAAAAAAGCAGATGTTGAGGGATTGGATGTTTTCAAACACTGTCTTCACCTGTCTAGGTTTTTTCATGTATTTATTTACTAAAAGCATTTATGTGCAATTCCACACACTCAGGCCCCCGGGCTGTGGGGGTTTGACTGCCGCGCCATCAACAGCAGTAAAAAGAGAAATCCAGCATACAGTGAGAAAAGGCAGCGATGCAGATTTCGAGAAAGTTTGACTGAAAAGCGAGGATTTTGCTTTATTTTTGTAATTGCTCCCGTAATGATGGTGTACCTGTAGTTTGCTGGCTCTTTCATCGTCACTGGTGACCTCCAACAGGTCATCGATGTCTATTTCTACCTCTGGCATCTCTTCCTCCTGAAACACAAAGGCGCTCTTGGTTAGTGAGTAGCTGAGTCGGATTCACAAGAGAGAAATTGAAATGGAAAACTAAACAATCATAAAACAGCGATGAAATGGCTTGTGGTGTTTTTTACAAGCACGTTTCTGTTTTTACTCAAATATTCCAAGGCAGAGCAATCGCAATCACACCTACACTCATTTCTTCTGCCTTTATTTCACCTCTGCCTTCAAAATACTGTTTTCACATTTCTGCACTCAAGGCTCCAAACACATATTTGCTTATTAGGAGCAGACATCGTATGGAAACGCCGCCGCGTCACGCCGTGCTGCCGGGGCCGGGCCGTTTAGTGGCTCGGCGGTTTAGAGGCGGTATTCTGCACAACACCACTTCAAAGGTCCCGCGTTCCTCTGGTTCGTCTTCTTTCACCACAGGGCTTGTGCAAAAGAGGCACACAGGGAGGATCAACCTTTTCCTCCCGGCTACGGCTTCATGAATCTTCAAAAATCTCCCTTCTGGAAAACGAGAGCTAAAAAAAAAAACCCACGCATCCGCAGGAGCAGCTTTTATGTCAAAATGGGGGCATTTACCAGCTGCTGGGTAACAACATACTGCGTGATGGTAGCAACACTGACTCTGCTATGAAATACGTCCACATTTGACAATTTAGGTCCAATGCAAACATTGATTGACAATGCAGGACAATCATAGGACTGTCCAAAATTAACCATCTTCTCCGTGGCCATTCAGCTTACGCTCCATTGTCCTTCTTGTTCTCACCACTAACTCGTGTAGTCCTCCATCAGTACAGTCCGGTTCAGGTAAAAAGTCATCAGTTTTTAAATCCCGCTGAGAATTATTGCCCAACTCTTTAGCTTTTGGTGGCATTTATCTCTCTCTGCTCGTTGATTGGGATGTTTGGTTTAACCATAATGACATACCCCAACAAATATATTAATAATATTCACACCAGTATAAAGTAAGTAACTGGCTGATGATAAGCCGATCATGTATGGAGCTTTTATTGTAGTTGGTGTGGTTCTCATTTGCTCGATGATGGTCAGCCATAACGTAAAAAATAAAAAAAGCACATGCACTTTTAGATTAATGAGCAGGAATGTAATCCCTTCTCTGCTGTGTGGTGGATGATCCCTGGTTCCCTTTGCACAGGACATAACACCGAAACTGCTTTGAGTTTTAAATGATGCCTGTGTGTGAGGGTGTATGTGTGTGTGAGTGTGTGTGTGTGCTCTCAGAGGACTCCTTTATGCTTTTGCCTGCAGCGTGCACTGGTATTCAGAGGCAGGAACAGGGAGGATGGAAGGACGATTAGATTTCAGCTCTCAGCAATAAAGCTCAGCCGTTGTTATTTCCCTCTTTACGTGTGTGGGTGGATGTGCACCGAATAGAATTAGCTCGCCATTGTACTTTTGAAATCACAATACCAAATGCAAGACGAGGGGTAAGTGTGGTGTTTGACAACATGACTAGAAATGAATTAACCATTACAGCTTTTATTACATTTACATTGAGGATGAATATGAGGTGTCTATTCTTAACACAAATAACAACCACCGACCAACCAGTCTAAAATCCTCCTGACATCAGAGAATCTCAAACCGTGTTTGCACATATCTCATTTGCATTGGTTCACACACACACACTTGACACGCATAGATCCCCCCCCTCGTCATCTGCGTAGCTGAGCCGTTCACACAACCTGCATTTCAAGCATCTCAGTCTCCCCGCAGACGATCGTCCCCTTTGACCTCCTCCTCTGAAATCACAGCCCCCCCCCCCTCATTAAGGGAACAGAAAAGGACGGCGGAGAAATGAGGAAACGTGGCAGAAGATATCAAAGTGTCAGCTATTAGAAGCGTGTGCTACGGAACCAGAGGACTGAGGTTATATGCAAATGAACAGAACTGGGGAGGTATTTCAAACTGAGACGACGGGTGAAAAGCGTGGATTATGTTCCTATTGAAAAGGGTCAAAATAAGGTATTTTTACATGTTCATGTCAATGTGCTCCTTCCATACAAAGTGCATACTGTAGCTTAACTGTTGAGTGGCTAAGCTCACGGAACCTTTTAAATCACACATTGAATGTAAGCAGGTAAAGATAACACTTAGATTACACTAACACAACAAAATTAAAGAAACAAAAACACATTTTGTCTGTAGATTCTCACTTTATATTTTACATTCTTTTACAGTATCTAAATTGTTTCATGTTTTATGGACAGAACTTTTCTACCCTTTTCCTTTTAACTTCATTGACAGTGTGGATGGAGAACGTCCAAAATGCTCAAATTGTGGCTTTAAAATATTGGCTGACAGAGAAGAGCAAGTCTATTATTCCCTCAGGGCAGATGACACCCACTAGAGATCCAGACCCTCAGAGACTGCTGCTCCTTCTCTTATAAAAAGCAGCTAGTTTACACCTGACAGCGGCTTTAAAGTGTGAGCAGGTCACTGAGTTCACTGCCTCCGTCACGGACGCCAAAAGCAAGATACGAGGTATGAAAAAGAAAAGTGACCGGTCTCCTGCCTGCAGACTGGTTCTGGCTGGTTTCCATCGGCTACAAAATAAAATATTTAATCAAATAATACAGATGAAAACGTAAGTCTATCTATCTATAGTAAGCTGGTTATTCTCCCAGTTTGACTGCTGTCTGTGCGTGTGTGTGTCTGCGTGTGTGTGTGTGTGTGTGTGTGTCCGTCTGAATATTCCACTTGTCAGCAGGCAGTCTGTCAACCTCTGTCACTGTGATGGGTGATGACCAGGGCAAGCGTGGCCTGTTGTGTGCGAGGCATGACTGCAGGCAATTGCCAATGACACACACACACACACACACAGACACACACACACACACACACACACACACAGACACACACAGACACACACACACACACACACACAAACACACTTTTGCCACCAGCCTTCAGAGAAACTGTCTTGACAGTGGAGAGAGAAGAAAATCATTAATACAGCTCTTACAAAACCTCATTCTGAATGAATATTTCACGTAGGATCCAGCTTGGTATTCTTAAGATCATCATCATCGTGCCCGTAAGCTTACTGAAGATTTCAGTTGCAGACTGCATTAAATATGATGATGAAACATTTTCAACAGTAGCAAGACAGAAACCGAAATGAAACAAATGCATTAAAGATGATGAGGGAGATTATAATATCAGCAACCGTTACCGCACTGTGCATATTATATTCTTAATATTGGGAGAAAAGTATGATCTATGTATTAAGTGTATCGCCTACAATGTGATAGTGTGAATGGGATTTAGAATCTGTGTGTGTGTGTTCGACAGACACAGTGATGGAAACAGGAAAAGAGTCGGCGTGTGTCTTGTATGTGGACGCTGGCGTGAGCGAGTGCAAGAAAGATAACAAGGAGCAAAGTGTTTGTTGCAATGAAGGCGCCTCTGAGTCGATTCTGTGCGAGAGCCAGCGAGCAGAAGAGAGGCGACACAGAGCCCGCCAGTGTGTTTGTTTTTGTTGTCGCTTTCACAGAAAGTGTGCGTCACACTTGTTTTCCCCAACAGCGGAGCAGCCGGCGGCGTTTTTTTGCGGGCCGGTCCGTCTGCAACGAAGGTTAAGGCAAGCCGCCCGACCCCGTGACTCACCTCAAACTCCATTCAGACGCTCTGCGCCAACAAAGAGTGACGGGGAACCAGTCCACTCGGCCCAGTGATTCATGGTTATCATTCCTATTCACAGCCTCTGAACCCGAACTACCAGCTGTACTGAACAGTGGCAAATACCTCTTGATAATGACTCACAGAAATATAATTATGTCAAGTGGGTGAAATATTTTTATAATAGATCCATAATCTACCAATGATGATTAGATAATGACTTAGCAGGTAGGATAGTTATATGTTTAGATCGCAAAGACAAAAAGACAAGTGAAAGACGTAAGTGAAATATCAGGGCTTTTGTTGGACGCTACGTGCAGAGGGGAGATCGGGCCAATTAGTGGAGTACAGAAGGCCGTGACAGGGAAATGAAAAGAAATGGCGACAGCTATGTATGAGCGTAATGATTAGAATACGTGAGAGGAAAATGAAGACGCTGGTGGGTAGTGAACAGATTTGGTCGCTGTGATGATGAGGCAGAATCGTTCCTCACAGTAAAAGCTCACAGCTCAGCTTTGTTGGCCCCTCTGCACCGCCTTTCTGTGTCACATCGAGGGGAGGAATTCATCTGAGGTGTCCGTGCGAGCAGGGAGAGAAACTACTGCCAGCTGGAAAATGAAGGATGGGACCAGTAGTTCATTGTTCTTGAAAATCAATGGAAAAAAAGTCTAATAATTGATGTGAAAACAAATAATCTACCAACTGATCTGTATTTTGAGTCTCTCTCTCTTCCACCTTCCTCCCTCCCTCGTCTTCAAGCCCCCCCCCCCACTCCCCCCTCCGGCGGTGCAAATTGCTGAAACCATACGGCACGGATGATGATGACTTCATAGCTGCTGCAGCAAAGGCTCTTTCCCACGCTGATTCAGCTGTACTCTAGAGGACATTGTATATCAGAGAGGCGAACTGGGGGGGGATTAATCCTCAAACAAGAATCCCAGCAGAAAAATAACCCGCAGAATTTTGCAAGTTAATCGCGATGCCAACGTCGAAATCCTTCATTCACTGCTCAATGGTGTGGGGCTAGTACGGATGTCCATCAATCGACAGGCTGAGCTAGCGTTTGGCATCGAACCATGTCCTTGTTTTGCACGCGCAATCCTTCTCTGGGGAGCGAGAGCCACAAACTCGGATTTATAGAGCCATGACGGCACGGGGGTCAAAGGCAGTCCCACCGTGGATAACAAGATAGATAACTGCCCACTTCACACCGAGGGTTGGGCAGCCGTGCCGAGGTGAGAAACTCATCTCTTTCTTTTTCTTCTTCTCCCCATTTGTTATACAACTATATCCGTCCCAAACGCAGTCAATATCATGCACGCGAGCCACACCGAGGACTCCCCCCCCCCCCGGACCGCAGA